TGTTCCTGTGACGCAAGGTGCATTTTCAGTTTCATCTGTTCAATTCGGTCAAAAATATGGTCTCATTTTCTACAATGCAGATCATTCTCATTTAATATGATGAAGTATTGCTTGTCGATTCTGAATAGCCAGTGTGGAACTATGCCATATAGACCAGGAAAGTGCCAAGGTACAATTACCTATCTGTGTGCAGTAATTATTTTAAACTGATTATAAGGGACATTGCAATGTGTTATATCATTAGTTACATATATTTTATTGTTCTTAGTTTCTTCATTCCCTTCATTATTTTTCCAGTCTTTCTTTCTCTTATTCCTTTTCGTTTTCCTTTTCACGCCATCCCTTTCATCCCAAGATCAGAAGTAAACTCCTCTCCTGACTATCCAAAGACTGTCCTACTATCTACAAAGGCACAAGTCAAGAGTGTGATGAAATATTTCCCATTTGCCTGGATAAATGCAACTCCAACAACATTCAAGAAGATTGACACTATCTAAGGCAAAGCAGCCCGGTTGATGGTCACTTCGTCCACAAGCATTCATTCCCTCCACCATTGTGTACTATCTACAAGATGCACTGCAGAAATTCACCAAGGCTCCTTAGACAGTAGCTTCCAAGGGACAAGATTAGCAGACACATGGAAACACCACCACCTGAAAATTCCCCTCCAAATCACTCACCATCCTGACTTGGAAATATATCGCCATTCCTTCAGTGTCACTGGGTCAAAACTCTGGCATACCCTCCCTGACAGCATTGTGGTACTTCCTACAGCTGGAGGACTGCAATGGTTCAAGAAGGCAGTTCACCACCACCTTCTCAAGGGCAACTAGGGATGGGCAATAAATGTTGGCCAGCCAGCGACGCCCACATCCCGTGAATGAATAATGTTAGGATACTGGTAGTTTAACTGGACATACTGCCTGGCTAGGCTTAAGACAACAGACGGATTTTATTGATCCTTTTCTCCATGTATGATTTGGTTTTTCTGTCAGTGATGTTTTCCTTTTGAACCTTGCAGAATTTCAAAACCATGATTATTTCTGATCAATTAATGCTTCGCTATTTTGCACTAGAAACTTGTTCCAAACACAAGATGTCCTGCATCTTTCAAGAAACGAAAAGGAAATCATTCCAAAACGCTGTAAGTATTTCTACAAACAATGTTTCCTTTATTCTAAGGATAATGAGGCAGACAGTGAAATATTACAAGGGATTAAATCTAATTATTATTTAATCTCTGTCCCTTTGAGATTGTTAGCATTACTTGACTATCAAAAACCGGTCAGCAAACATAGTAATTCAAATTCATTTACTACCACAATTGCCCATACAAACATCAGTAACATTTTCAGCCTTAATGTAAAGTGTTAAATTAAACCAATAATGGCATTTGTTCAGATATTATGGTGTTAACATTTCTGAATGGCTTTGCAGTGAAACTAGCTTTTCTTTCTTAAACAACACTTGTTGCTAATAATACAAACATAGAAACATAGAATATAGGAGCAGGAGGAGGCCATTCGGCCCTTTGAGCCTGCTCCACCATTCTTCACGATCATGGCTGATCATTCAACTCAATAGCCTAATCCTGCTTTCTCCCCATAATCTTTGATCCCATTCGCCCCAAGTGCTATATCTAGTCACCTCTTGAATACATTCAATGCTTTGGCATCAACTACTTCCTGTGGTAATGAATTCCACAGGGTCACCACTCTTTGGGTGAAGAAATGTCTCCTCATCTCCGTTCTAAATCGTCTATCCCGAATCCTCAAACTGTGACCCCTGGTTCTGGACACACCCACCATCAGAAACCTCTTCCCTACATCTCCCCTGTCCTGTCCTGTTAGAATTTTAAAAGTCTCTATGAGATCCCCTCTCATTCGTCTAAACTCCAGCGAAAACAATCCTAACCTAGTCAATCTCTCCTAATATGTCAGGCCCACCATCCCCAGAATCAGCTTGGTAAACCTTCACTGCACTCCCACGAGAGCAAGAGCATCCTTCCTCAGAAAAGGAGACCAAAACGGTACACAATATTCCAGGTGTGGTCTCACCAAGGCCCTGTACAACTGCAAAACACATCCCTGCTCCTGTACTCAAAACCTCACGCAATGAAGGCCAACATACCATTTGCCTTCTTTACCGCCTGCTGCACCTGAACGCTTACCTTCAGTGACTGGTGCACAAGGATACCCAGGTCCCAGTGAGCACTCCCCTCTCCTAATTTACAGCCATTCAGGTAGTAATCTGCCTTCTTGTTTTGCCTCCGAAGTGAATAACCTCACATTTATCCAAATTGTACTGCATCTGCCATTGATCTGCCCACTTATCCAACCTGTCGAGATCATGCTGAAGGATCTCTGCATCCTCATCACAGTTCACCATCCCAGCCAACTCGGTATCATCTGCAAACTTGGAGATGTTACATTTTGTTCCCTCAGCCAAATCATTAATATATATTGTGCACCGATCCCTATGGCACCCCACTAGTTACTGCCTGCCAATTTGAAAAGGATCCATTAATTCCTACTCTGTTTCCTCTCTGCCAACCAGTTTCCTATCCATCTCAATACATTTGCCCCCAATCCCATGCGCTTTAATCTTGTGCATTAATCTGTTACGTGGGATTTTGTCAAATGTTTTCTTAAAGTCCAAATATACTACATTGATTGGCCCCCCCCTTGTCAACCGTACTAGTTACATCTTCGTAGAATTACAACAGATTTGTCAAGCATGATTTCCCCTTCATAAATCCATGCTGACTATGTCTGATCCTGCCACTGCTTTCTAAGTGCTCTGCTATAAAATCCTTGACAATGGATTCAAGAATTTTCCTCACTACCGACATTAGGCTCACTGGTCTGTAATTCCATGTTTTCTCTCTACCTCCCTTTTTGAATATTGGAGTGATATTAGCCACCCTCCAATCTGCAGGGACTGTTCCAGAGTATATAGAATCCTGCAAGATGACCACCAATGCATCCACTATTTCTAGAGCTACTTCCTTAAGTATTCTGGGATGTAGATCATCAGGCCCTGGGGATTTATTGACGTTCAATCCCAACAATTTTCCCAGCACCATTTCTTTATTAATATTGATCTCCCTCAGTTCCTCCCACTCACTAAATCTTGCATCCTCCAACAATTCTGGTATCTGATTCGTGTCCTGTAATGAGCCCTTTTGTCTGAATAACATTATATTCTTAACCTATCTGACCTGACTGAGGTAATAATAAGACACAGAGTACAAAATAATAATCATTGAAAAATGGTAGCACTTTGCAAACAGACCACTTCGATGTTAAGGACATTTTTACACTCATGAAGGAAAAAGACATTAGCAGAGTGTAGGAATATTCTAATTAGGTGTGGTGGATAGAGACAGATGATTAAAAAGGCAGACAGAAAATGCAGCACTAAATGAATATTTCTCAGATTTACAGATACTGACTAGTGGAGTGCTTTCTGCTTCATTGGTATAAGTAATACAGACAGGCATAAAAAGAGTGAATATAAAATAATTATACAAAACGGAGGGAAGTAGGAAACTGTTAGGAAGAATACAGAAGACTACAAGATGATATAAGCAGCATGGATAAACGAGTAAATTAGCACAGATTCAGTTTACATGAGATATTACATAATACTAAATTCAGAATAAAAAGAATATACTTTCAATCATAAAATTCTTAATGCCACAAGAAACAAAAGTATCTCGGTGTACAAGTTCTTAAATTCTTACTGGTAAATTCCCAATAATCCTTCTCAGTTTAAAAATACCATTATGAAAGCAACCGGAGCTTTGGGGATTGAATACAAAAGTAAAAGAATTAAGGGCTCATGTGGTGCAGTGGTACTGTTCCTATCTCTTGGCCAGGAGGTCTGGGTTCAAATCTCACTTGCTCCAGAGGTGTGTCATAATGTATGATGAGATTGATTAAAGTAACTACAAAAGCAAAAGGATCATAATGACTTGATAACATCGTGGTAAAGACACATCTATAATGTTGGAGTTAATGGGATTGCATAAATCCCACCCGCTCACCAGCTAAATTGGCCATGAATTGAATTGAGATGGGACTTCCACCCTCAGAAACAGAAAGCCCTGTTTCCGAGAGCTGCCAGTTGATCAAAGGCTGGCATCTTTTCAGTAACAACAGTGCCTGCCAGGTGTGGTGGCCACTACTGGTACTGCAGTGAAGCCAGGAGTTGGAGAGTGGTAGTGCATCTAAGATAGCACAAATGTCTGGTGTTCCACCACGGACAAATTGGTGGGCCTTGGTGAAAGGGGGATGGGGTGTTCAGGGCTGAAGGGTTTAGGGATTAGGGCAGGAAACAAACAAACAGTTGGTGGGTGGTTACACTTGGGTGGTGGGGGTGGCCTCTGATGGGCTCAGGGGTAACTTATTGACTGAGATGCTCAGCATCATGAAAGACAAGCTTTTTTTCCTATGAATATCAAGTAGGATCAGAGTTAGGAGTTGCAAGGAAAAGGGTGAAAGCTTTGTCTCAAATCATGAAGGTTTAAGGTCAACTTAGTAGGGATGTAAAGCAACAAAGGAAACACGAAACATTATCCCACAGTAAGCACTAGACGGACAAAGCAAAAGATTAGAAGGGTGTTTCTATTGAAGGAATTATTGACTAGAAAATACTTTGTCACACGTGGTAATCAATGTCAGGCCAATCACAGCATTCAACTGCGTGCTGGAAAGATGTGGAAGCTTACGGACTGAGGGAGTGAAATAGAGAAAGAGAGACAGCACATACAGAACATTAAACAACTGCTGAAGAAAATGCAGGAAAATAGGACTGGGGAGAAACAGCAATGAAAGGTCTAAATTTAAACACGGAGAAAGGTCACAATAGAATCTGCCTCATGTAACATAGAAACGTGGAGCAGGAATACGTCATTCAATAATGGTTATGGCTGATCCTCAATCTCAATGCTATACTCCCACTTTTGTATTGGGCCCAAACAGTGTGAAATTTCTTACCTGAGATTTTACTGACATTTGATTTTTTCTCTGTGTCTTTCAGTATTTCCTGACTAGATTTGACTGTCTTGGTCTGTTTGCTCGAGGCTGTCATTGTAGTGTTCACACTTTGTAAGACAGGTTTTTTAGGTAAGGGCGGCTTAACAGACAGACTTTCAGAAGATTTAGCCTTCAGTTTCCCATTATCCTTTAATGTGTTGCTAAGGGTTATTTCTGGTGAGTTCCTGACATCTGTTTTTTCAACCTTGGGTTGCAATGCTGAGCTGCCTGATTCCAAAGTGGCTTCAGCACTGTGACGTTTATAATCTGAATGTGAACTCTCCTTGTATTTTAAATGGGAAGTACTGCGGAGTTTAACACCAAATAGTCCTCTTCCCTCATCAACTTTGCCTTGTGATTCCTCAGTTTTTTCCAGTTTATGTACATCAATCCTAACCACAGAAGACTCAGAAAGGGACATTTCTTCCTCTTTCCTCTCTTTTCCAGGCAGCGTGCTAGCTTTCTGAGGGAATGCGTTCTGCAAACTGTCTGAATCCGCTGCCAGATTACCCTCATTCCACTTCACGCCACTTCGTCTGGACCTGGTCCATGCCGAGGAAATTGAGAATTTGAAGGAGCCCTGGCTATTTTTCTTAAATGAACCCTGTGGGCTTATTGTGCTGTCTTCTAATGTTTGAATGTTTGCTTTCTTAAATACTGTCGCTTCTGTACTTTCCAGTCTGCTATTAATGGTTTCTGAAACAGGCGTGTCCTGATATGTTTCTGAAGGTTGTGAATACACCTCAGTACAGGTTGATGCAATACTGCTGGATTCTTCAGGCACTTCATCAGACTTCTCTTCATGACTTGTGGGCTCTATTGCTCTTTGATCGATTGAAGGCAAAGATTCTTTGGATGTTGCTTCTATTTTTATTTGTCTACACAATGTATCTGGAGTTACCTGCACAAATTCTATCTCACTGATTTCTGTCCCTACAGGGACAATTGAAGGGGGTTTCTCAGAGATGAGTGACAAATTATCTGTCTGAATCTCTGTGTTTGTTGGATATACAGTGTCTCCAACAAGGGATATATCAAGAGAGGGAACATGTGTGCCAAATGCTGTGGCCCTCTCTCCAGATTCTGAAAGATTTATTTCTTCTTTTTCCTTTAATGGATCGATAAAATCAAGTGGAGTTGAATGTTCAGACAATACAGTCGTTGACTCAGTTCCTGTTGACACAGGAATTTGTGAAGCAGTCACTTCCACGATGTCAAATTCCATCGGAATGACATCTCCTCCAGTTTCTGACAGAAAAGCAGGTTCAGAGCTTGTTTTCAGATAATCATTGACATCCAAAGCACAAGATGAGGCAGCAATATCTAACTGGATAAGTTCACTAGTTCCTTGCTCCGAATTATCCACCACCTCTGTGCTACTTGACTGAATTATCGTAGGTTCAGTTAGAGGTTGTCCCCAAGTGAGAACCGTTGACGGAATTTCTGTTCTCTCTTTCAAACTTATTTCAGAATCGGCGTTCACACTGTTGTAGTTGCTGATATCTTGCTCATTTTCTTCTTTTAGCTCAGGTACTTTGTACATTAAATCTCTCGGCCTGTCAGAAAGTAATCTCTGCAAAAACAGTGAGGGACAGTTGTCTGTGAACAATCACACACATTTTCTTCAACATTATTTTACATAAACTATTTAAATGAGGCAACATTAACAACAGACTTTTTTCTTTGAGATTAAGCAAAATGAGAAGGGTAAAATAGTGTCAGGGAAAAGTCAGTTTATATGCAGAAAATAGGGAGGTGAGTGGAGTAGGGAGTAAATGATAGGATAGAGCCCAAAGAGAGAGAAAGACAGTGGGACAGACAAAGGAGTTGCTAATGATCAGGCTGGGAGGGTGAATAGTTGTTAATGGGGACTGTTAGTGATTAACAACAGGGGGTGTGTAGTGGCGGGCTATGTGGTAACAAAGCCTGGTGTGTGGGGTCGGGGGCTGGAACATGGGAGAGTTTAGGCCCTAAAATTATTGAACTCAATATTGAGTCCGGAGGGCTGTAGGGTCACCAAGCGGAAAATGAGATGTTGTTCCTCCAGCTTGCGTTGGGCTTCACTGGAACACTGTAGCAAGCCAGAGACAGAGATGTTGGCCAGGGAGCAAGGTGGTGCATTGAAGTGGCAGGCAACAGGTAGTTCAGGGTCTTTTTTGCGAGTAGAACGTAGATGTTCTGCAAAGTGGTCACCAAGTCTACGCTTCCTTTCCCCAATGTAGAGGAGACCACATTGTGAGCAGCGAATGCAGTAGACCTGATTCTGGGAAGTGCAGGTGAAGTGTTGCTTCAACTGGAAGGTATGTTTGGGCCCTTGGATACTGGGGAAGGAGGAGGTAAATGGGCAGGTGTTGCACCTTCGCCAGTTACAGGGGAAGGTGCCGTAGGGCTGTAGGGAGGTGTTGGGGGTGAAGGAAGTGTGGACCAGGGTGTCCCGGAGGGAACGGTCCCTGTGGAAGGTGGACAAGGGAGGGAAGGGGAACACGTGTCTGGTGGTGGCATCTTGCTGGAGGTGGCAGAAATGGCATCTGACGATCATCATCTACGTTCTACTCGCAAAAAAGACCCTGAACTACCTGTTGCCTGCCACTTCAATGTACCACCTTGCTCCCTGGCCAACATCTCTGTCTCTGGCTTGCTACAGTGTTCCAGTGAAGCCCAACGCAAGCTGGAGGAACAACATCTCATTTTCCGCTTGGTGACCCTACAGCCCTCCGGACTCAATATTGAGTTCAATAATTTTAGGGCCTAAACTCTCCCATGTCCTGGCCCCCGACCCCACACAGCAGGCTTTGTTACCACACAGCCTGCCACTACACACCCCCTGTTGTTAGTCACTAACAGTCCCCATTAACAACTATTCACCCTCCCAGCCTGATCATTAGCAACTCCTTTGTCTGACCAACTGTCTTTCTCTCTCTTTGGGTTCTATCCTATCGTTTACTCCCTACCCCACCCACCTCCCTATTTTCTGCATATAAACTGACGTTTTCCCAGCTACCTTCAGTTCGGAGGAAGGGTCACCGGACCCAAAACGTTAACTCTGTTTTCTTCTTCACAGATGCTGCCCGACTTGCTGAGCTTTTCCAGCTACTTTATTTTTGTTCCTGATTTACAGCATCCGCAGTTCTTTCGGTTTTTAACATAGTGTCAGGTCATGTATTTTTAAATTGGAAAACGTAGGGATAAGGTCAAGCTAATACACAGTGCACCAAGAATAAACGTACACGGCAAAAGAGAAAACAGTCAAAGCGACTGCTGAAGTCACTTTATAATTCAGAATGAATTTAGGTGATATCTAAATGTGGAAGGTTCACCACTGGAGAAAAGAAGAAAACATTTTTAAGAAATAAACAAGATGAAAGTTGAAATGCTACCAAGCTCAAGGATAGGCATCAAAATAAAACGGAGAACTGCAGATGCTGGAAATCTGAAACAAAAACATAAATTGCTGGAGAAACTCAGCAGGTCTGGCACCATCTGCGCAGAGAAATCAGAGTTAATGTTTTGTGTCTGGTGATGCTTCTTCTAAAGAAGGGCCACTGGACCTGAAAAATTAACTCTGCTTCCTCTCAAATAAAGGCATACAGTACTAAAGTAAATGTAGCTTTGCAGGTTAAAAAGATGGGTAGGTGGCAGAAAGAAACTGTAGGTAAAGAGTTTTAGATTAGCAGGGTGCGATCCCTACAGTGTGGCGAAAGGCCATTTGGCCCAACAAGTCCACACCGCCCCCTCTGAAGAGCATCCCACCCAGACCCATACCCCTACCCTATTCCTGTAAACCTGCATTTCCCATGGCTAATCCAACTAATTTACACACCCATGGACACTGCCGGCAGTTTAGCATGGCCAATCCACCTAACCCACTCATCTTTGGACTGTGGGAGGGAACAGCAGCACCCAGCAGAAACTCACGCAGACACAGGGAGAATGTGCAAGCTCCACACAGACAGTCACCTGAGGGTGGAATCGAACCCAGGTCCCTGGAGCTGTGAGGCAACAGTGCTAACCACTGAACCACCATACTGCCCCACCAAGTAGAATGAAGCTGGGATCTCCTGTTTTTCATTTATATGAATGATTTGAACATGGGCACAGTAAAATTATACCAAAGTTTGTCAAAGATAAATTAGGGGATTGGACAATTATAGAGGAAAATATGGCAAGACAGGGGTTGGATGAGCAGCCTGGAGGCAAATACAGTTCAATTCGCTGAAAAACATGCTTCTGGTTTAAAAATTACATGATCTCTAGCTTCTTCCATTACCTCCTTCACGTCTTAAAATGGATTTAAACCATCCCAAAATGCAATAGTGAAATAAAAGCAGGAAACTCCTATCCACAGAGTCACTGACTGACAGGTAGCCAACGAGGCCAGTAGCAACGAGCTGAGGAGAATGTATTCGGTTCAAGGACTGTTCAGAAACTCAGAAAAAGCCACTTAAAAACACACAAATGCAAGAGCTACATTTGGTGCACAGGATGTTAGTTCAACTATCTGGATTACTGAGAGGCATTCTGGATGTCCTATTAGGGAAAGGCATGGAAAGGCTATAGTAAAGTCTCACTGGAACTGAAACTAGAATGATGGGTTACAGTTATGTAGAAAGCTTTGAAAGACTGAAGCATTTCACTGAAACGGACAACACTGAACACTGTTAGGAGCTTCTGCATTTTTTGAAAGGGCATAGATTCAAGGGTGTCACTATACAATTGCCTAGATCACTTAGAACCATTATTTCCCACCCAAAGGATTATTTAAGCATGAAATACAATCAGAAGTAGCTATTGAGCTACGCGCTAACACGTAATTTAAGAAGGAATTTAACATGTTCGAGTAAAGTTAGGGGACAGGTCAAGGAAAATAAGATTCCAGTTAACTGCTCCAGACAAGGAGATAGCACCCACACAAGCCCAATAGCGTTGCTATTTCGGGAATGCCATCTTAAGACAAAGCAAGTCTGAAGGAAATCACCAGGTGACAGTAGACATTTAGTTACATTTTTAGAACCCTGTAGATTGGAGGATGAATAAAATGCTCAGATGACTGTTTCATAATTTTGAGGCTCTTGAAAAGCATGAACCATGAGGTCACGGGATACAACTGGTCCGCAAGGCCCCGGATTAAGAAAATTAAGGAAAAGGCGGCTTTCCAGATCAGCAGGAAGTGGTCCAAGGTGGAAACAGGTTGAGAATCAAATCCAACTTATCCACCTCCTCCTACAGGACAGCAAATACCTTACGCAGTTAACAGTCATTGGAAACCTTCAGGAGAGGTGAACGAAATGGGTGAAAATAGTGCATTTCACATAGAAGATATTCAATACTTACCAAAGAAGACCTTCTTTGTTTAGAGGAAGATCGTTGCTTGCGTGGCTTCACTGAGAGTTTGTGTCTCGCTGCAGAATTATCAAGACAAGTGGAGAACGTAGGTGGAGAGTTAAAATCAATGGCAGGCACAACAAAGCTGTCAGAAGAAGAGATCGAAACTGGTGGCGATGTGGGACTCCGAGATCTTGAGCTTGACCTTGTTGGAAGGTAGGTGCAAAGGGGACTGTTGGGCCTGGAGGAAGACCTTGATGAAATCTGTAGAGCAGTAAGGCTAGACTTTACACAGAATATAAACTACAGCATGTAAGATATCAGAGCAAATACTTCCAGTCAATGCAACAACCATTAGCACTTCTGAGCTGTACTGGTGATGGATTGCGGATTTCGATTTTAACAATGCAGAAAAGAAACCTCAATTCTAACACAGGCACATAATGCATTCCAACACTCCAGTGAATACAGCAGAAGTACTGTAGTGTTAACAGCCTTTAGAAAGGAAATAATGAAATTGTACTTACATAGTGACATGTCAAAACCCCTGGATATCCTAAGGTGCTTTATAGCCAAAGATGTCCACTTAAAGTGAAGTCAACGTTATATCAATAAAGATTCCAATCCTTTCCAGCAAATCCAGCCCACTCCTTGGAAATTGCAGGCAATCTTGGTGTCATGTTTGAACCTGAGATGAGCTTCGAGCCACATTTCAGCAACAACATTAAGACCCACCCACTTCCATTTCCATAGTATTGCCCAATTCTGTCCCTGCCTCAGCTCATTAGCTGCTGAAAACCTCATGGAAGCCGTTGGTCCTTCTTGCCTTGACTGTTCCAACACATCAGGAAGCTGACCTCCCATCATCCAGCCCATGTAACTTGGGATCATCAAAAATGCTGCTGCCCACGTGTTGCCTTGCATCAAGCCATACATTACCCTGTTTTGGCTCGAGTTAATCAATGCCTCCGTTTTAAAGGTCTCACTCAAACTTTCAAATCCTTCCATGGTCTCACACCTTCCCATTGCTGTAATCTCCTCCAACACCACAACCCTCCAAGCCATCTATAATCCTCTAATTCTGGCCTCTTCAGCCTTCCTGAATTTAATTGTTGCCATTGGGAGCCATGCCTCCAGGTTAACGCCTGGAACTCTAGAAACCCCTTCCCTCAATCTCTCTCCCTCCAAGAGCAAAGTATCAACTTACTCAACTCTCTGCAAACAGAAGCCTATTATAAAATTGGGTCCTTTTTTTCCCCTTTTGAGACACTTCTGTGATCAATCCTTTAGTCATCTGTCTTAATATCTCATGTGGCTTGATGTCAATGAAGAGTAGCTTGGGATGTTTTGTTACATGCTATACAAATACAGGTTGCTGTTGTAAAAACAGTGTTGAAAATGTAATGGAGTGGTAAACCAAGGACCTTTCTATCATTCAATCTTCCAGGCTTGCATTGCACAGATTTCATGTACAGTTCAAAGATCGCTGAGTTCTCCAAATCAATGTTCCTCATGTAAACTGATAAATTGATTAATTAGCTCATCATTAAATTATTGTTTACAGGTTTCTGCTGTGTGCAAAACACATACTGTAGGCATCGACAATCGAACTTTGTCATATTCAAATAAAATACTCCACTTGTTTCTTGGGTTACATTTTATCATAAATTTTATATATTCATATTATGGAGGATTTATTTTATTAAAGTAAATATTCAAATATGTTTCAACTGAATAATTGATAATTCTAATGGCTACTTAAATCAATTTGTCTGACATAATTATATCAATGGCCTAACATGAACTGACATTTTGATGCACTGATTAATTCCCAGCAGTGACTTCCATTGATTGTAATAGCAATGTACCAAAGTTAACAGATTTATTATGGTGGTATAACACTGGTTCATGGACTTTAACTTGTACTGCATTTGTAAAACTAACTCGATTGCTAATGGATTACGGTACATTTAAAAAAGATGTGTTTATGAACAGGAACTCATTTGAAACACAATGAAAACTGACCAACAATCATATCAGGTAGCACACTTGGTTCACAAGTCTCTAAAATAGTCTTAGATGAGTATTAAAAAGGCTATTTTGTTGGTATAATCCAGGGTTGGTTCTAATTCTGAGTTGGTAACCATTACCGGTGTAGATAGGTTTTAAATAAACTGCTCAGATGTGGCATGGCATACCTCTGGTACAGGCGGGACTTGAACCAGGCCTTATAGCTCAGAGGTAGGGGCACTGCCACTGTGCCACAAGCATCACTACCATGATCAGTGTAACTTGGTGCCAAATCTGGGTTTATATGGTGGTCCCCCTGCATGCTTGCACAAGCTCATCTTGAGCAAAGATTATTTCAAAATTTTAAGTGGACACAGATACAGAATTCCTTCCTATTCACTGGAGTTCAATTTGAAGCTTGCAGGAAAACTAGACTTGGCCCAGATGGAGTTGATTCTTCAGCAACTGGTTTCAGGTCGTTTTCTGCCATGTAATTGTGATTGTCTATCCTCTTTCTTCTGACTCTGCCAACAATTTTCTTCCTCTAACTGACCTGAGGGTTCATCTGTTTTTCTTCCCTCTTCCAGGACAGTACCTGCCTTCTGGAAAAAGTGGGAAGTCTACATACTGTGACAGTAAGGGCAGATTACATAGGACATACTGCATTGATCACAGGCCCTTCTACAGTCCATAATTTTTGGTTTGACATTTCAGTTAATAAATCACATTGAAAGACTCTCAGGTAACTAAAGAGAGAGAGAGATAGCATCCATTTGGAGATTCCATCACTGCTTAATATGTCAAGCTTCCAGTCAGGGAACACACTGACTCTCAGTTTACAAACTGATCCAGTTTCAAGGCCAGAGATTGATTGTATCATTGGAGTTATGGTGGGAACTCTGTGAATGAATATGCACAAAGGAAAGAGAGTAAAATGATCTCATTGACAGAATTTATGGCAAAAATCAAGCATTGTTCAAACTTGTAATGCAACCCATTGAGGTAGAGAAAAACTAAATGAGTTCATTCATAACATCTCATTTTCAGATTATCACTATCTAACAAAGACTTTTTACAATCTCAAGAAAGCTCTTGTGTTGTGTGTCTGCCAGTAATTACTATACACAATTAGGTATTGCCTCATCTATTCTTTGGAAGCAATATAAATGTTAACATTTTATACAGAGGAAGATTAGGCAAGATAAAGTAGGTGGTAGATAAGGAAGAGGTACAGACAGTTATTATAGCTGGAGTTCAAACAAAACCCTTGTTATGTTCGTGGCAGCTTATTTCAGGCTTTTAAATAATGGGAAAGAAACGGAAGAGGCAGTCTATACACAAATTAGAAAGATCAGCAGGACTAAAAATGTGTCTGTTCCAGGCAATTTTATCATTGACGGAGGAAGTAAACTGAATTCTTGCAAAGCACACAGGACTGCATCCTCAACTGGTATGTTTGTGAGCCTACAAGACTGGTAAATCTGGTTACAAGTCATGGAATTGAACACATAGCATGGAAGCAGTGGTCACAGCACGATACATTTTAAAGTGCATCTAAGAAAAAGGGACAAAACAGTACAAGAGTGAAAGCTAAGCTTGAGCACACTGGACCATGGAGAAAAGTACAATGTTGTTAAAAAGAACTTTGCAATGACTAAATCTGTTTTGAATGAAGGACATGGTTCAGAGGGATCAATGCTAATTCCTAGTGGGAAACTGTAGGAGTCAGTTAATTTACCGCATACAGAAGAAGAAACCTTTGTACAAGATAATGGCCCTGAAAGGATTAATGTCCGAGACTACATTAAATTCCACCCAATCTGATGATGTTGTACAGTCTTAGGGAAAGAGGAATCCAGCTCAAGTTCCCAATGGAGACAAAGGAGTCATCATTATCTCCTGATAAAATTAGTTATTATGTCTAATTACCTGATGTAACTTGTATCCAATGCTGCCACGCAGCAAACTTCATCCTGTTTTTAAACAGACGTGCCTTTTCTCATTAAGACTCACTAGTGATTCATACTCTACCACTCTATTCACCAAATAGAATCTTAGACCCAAATAGAAAGGAGGAAAGTTATCTATGGTGCACTGATAATGTCCCTATCTCTGGCCCAGGAGACTCGGGTTCACGTCCCTCTTGCTCCAGCGATGTTTCGGAGCATGTCCTATAACAAGTTGATTGGAAAGGAGAAAAAAAAAAGCAAAGAACTGTGGATGCTGGAAATCTGAAACAAAAACAGAAATTTCCGAAAAATCTCAGCAGGTCTGGCAGCATTTGGGGAGAGAAACCACAATTAATGTTTCAGGTCCAGTGGTCCTTCTTCAGAACACTCAATTCAAAGAAGGGTTGCTGGACCTGAAGCTTTAACTGTGTTTTCTCTCCACAAATGCTGCCAGACCTGCTGAGATTTTCCAGCAATTCCTGCTTTTGATTAGAAAGGAGATTTGGTAACTATACTTTGACTTTTTTTGGTAAGTTCCCATTGATTGTTTGATTTGTTACAATGTCTCACGAGAGATGGTCTAACTTGTTTAAGGTTTTATTTAAAAGAGTAAAAAGGAACATTTACCCCTGGGAATGATATTTTGATTTGATTTGATCAGTTTCCTTTTAAGTTTCCATTGAACTCTTGACTTTTTGTAACAGTACCTCACTTAGGGGCCACCTAAACCATTTATTGTTTATCTCTTCAGAAGGGTAGGAGGATTGATGTCAGCCATCTACCCCAATCTATTAGTCATTGATTCTGCAGAACATACAACAGAAAGCAGTGTGATTTTTACATCTGAACCATGCTACCATGCGACTGAACTATGTGCCTCAGTGCTACCTGTTGACATCTTGGTAGGTGCAGAATAGGAAGTATCTCAAAGAAATGGTTGCTTCCAGTCCTAGGGAGGCCTAGACTTTCCTTGCAGGGCCCAGAGGAGCAGGTCTATAAATTGCAGCACTTTACAGTGCATTACAGGGCTGTTAAACATTTACACAGAGCACTTAGTTTATTCTCAGTGGCAGGGAAAATATTAGAACTTAAAGCTAAGCATGAACGGAACATCACCAACTGCAAGCTCCCCTCCAAGCCACACACCACCCTGACTGGGAACCATATTAACATTTCTTCACTGTTTCTGAACCAAAAACCCGGAACTCCCTCCTGTGGGAACCTGTAGGGCATCCTAACACCACATGATCCACAGCAGTTCAAAAAGGCCATTCACCATCACCTTCTCAAGGGCAACTTGAATGGACAATAAATGCAGGCCTAGCCAGCATTGTCCACAATCCATGAACAAAATAAACTAAAAGATAAAAGTTAGACACACCCAGCAAAAGACAGGATTGTGATTAAAAAGGAAACACATATCGACCCATCCTAAAGGCCCTCCACTTCTTCCTGTCCCACAGGCCCGAACAGTCCCCCTCCACTGACCCCCTCATCTGCTTAGCTGAATTAGTCCTCACCCTTAACAACTTGTCCTTCAATTCCTCCCACTTCCTATAGACAAAGGGGGTGGCCTTGGGTACCCGTATGGGCCCAAGCTATGCCTGCCTCTCTGTAGGATACGTGGAACAATCCCTCTTCCGAAGCTACACTGGCCCTACCCCCACCTCTTCCTCCATTACATCGATGACGGTATTGGCGCCGCCTCGTGCTCCCGCATTTCCCGCAACTCATCCCTCACACCCCCTCCCCACAATAACAACCAAAACAGAATCCCCTCGTCTTCACGTACCACCCCACCAACCTCCGGATCCAATGCATCATCCTCCAACACTTCGGCCATCTGCAATCTGACCCCACTACCAAAGACATCTTTCCCTCCTCACCCTTATCTGCTTTCCAGAGGGACCACTCTCTCCGTGATGCCCTTGTCCACTCCACACTCCCTACCAGCCCCACCACCCCAGCACTTTTCCCTGCAACCACAGGAAGTGCTACACCTCCCCCCTCACCCCCATCCCAGGCCCCAAGAAGACCTTCCACATCAAACAGATGCACATCTGCTAATGTGGTATACTGTATCCACTGTTCCCGATGTGGCCTCCTCTACATCGGGGAAACCAAGCGGAGGCTTGGGGACCGCTTTGTGGAACACCTACGCTCGGTTCGCAACAAACAACTGCACCTCCCAGTCGTGAACCATTTCAACTCCCCCTCCCATTCCTTGGACGACATGTCCATCCTGGGCCTCCTGCAGTGCCACAACGATGCCACCCAAAGGTTGCAGAAACAGCACCTCATATTCCACTTGGGAACCCTGCAGCCCAATGGTATCAATGTGGACTTCACAAGCTTCAAAATCTCCCCTCCCCTGACCACCAAAACCAGCCCAGCTCGTACCCACCTCCCTAACCTGTCCTCCTACCTATCCACTCCTCCCACCTCAAGCCCCACCCCCATCTCCTACCTACTAGCCTCATCTCGCCTCCTTGACCTGTCCGTCCTCCCTGGATCGACTTATTCCCTCCCTAACTCCCCACCTACACTCACCTTTACTCCAACCCCACCTCCTTGACCTGTCTGTCTCCTCTCCACCTATCTTCTCCTTTATCCATCTTCTATCCACCTCCCCCTCTCTCCCTATTTATTTCAGAATCCCCTTCCCCTCCCCCATTTCTGAAGAAGGGTCTAGGCCCGAAACGTCAGCCTTCCTACTCCTCTGATGCTGCTTGGCCTGCTGTGTTCATCCAGCTCTACACCTTGTTATCTCAACCCATCCCTTACTTTTCATATCCTTTCAGTGCCACAATGTACATGCAGGGGAAACCTCTACAGTTAAGTGGAGATGACAGCCTACTGATATAATCACTAGTGTATTTACCCAGAGACTCTGGTAATGTTCTGGGGACCTAGGTTCAAATCCCACTTTGGCTGATTATGGAATTTGAATTAAATAAATATCTGGAATTAAGAGTCGAAGGATGACCACAAAACTGTTGTCAATTGTCAGGAGAACCCATTTGGTTCACTAATGTCTTACAGGGAAGGAAACTGTTGCCCTTAGCTGGTCTGACACATGGCTCCAGACACATAGCAATGCAGTTGACACTTAACTGCCCTTTGGGCATTTAGGGATGGGCAATAAATGCTGACCTGGCCAGTGATGCCCATATCCCAAGAATGAATTAAAAAACCAAGCTTCTACTGTCTGACAACTTTGTGTTATTAACAAACTAACCCCACAAAATCTCTCCGTTACTGACGCTGCGGTTTAACTCGCACCATCCACTAAGTGAACTCTCACAACCATACCTCTCAATCAGCAGTTTCAAAAGGTATTGAAAAGGCGGAATTTGGTTCGGTGTTTGGGATGGACAAGCAATATTCTAGCACCATTCACCAAGCCTGCTTGGCAGTCTTACATGCAGCTTCCTGAAGCAACATACAGGGGTCTCCTGATTAAACTGGGACAGTTGAGAGGTATGCTCGCAGCTAATTATTTCCTATGTAGGCTTTTGAGGGTCCTCCCAAAATTGGGAGTTTTGAATTATTACCTGCTCTTCTTCTTCGCTGCCTGTCCCACCTAAAGTCAAGGAGCTATGATTCTTGTAAGGGTCAGAGTACTGTGGGATGGAATTAGGAAAAGGTTCAGTCAAAGATGGCAAATGAAAATGGACAAAATGACACAGAATAAAACTGAAAAAATTGCTCGTCTTTCAATCGGACATAGCTTAGAGAGAATGTACAAAAAGAAATTGCTTAGAAAGTAAATTTCTAAAAATAGCAAAAACGTACGACATAGTGTGGTTATGGTGGTTTACCAAGATAGGCTCAAAGTGCTGAGGTTCCACACTTTAGAGAAGCAGAGGCCTACAGGTAATTTGATTGAACTATACAAGATGAAGAAGCAATTAGATTGAATTGTGCGAGATCTTGTTTCAACGAAATAGATTAGAATGACAAAGAATTACAATTTCAAGCTAGGGCAGATCAGAACTAAGTTAGACATTACATGTTCGTCTGCTCCCAGAAAATAGTGAAACTGTGGGACAGTTTGTCAGCTCATACATTGACAAGGATTAGCTGAATTCCTTCAAGCTAGGGTTGGATCAGTCTCTGACTGGGATAGATATCACCTTTTCAAAAATACATACAGTTCAACATCACTGGTCTTTTGTAATCTCATATTTAAACTCCTTTAATTTTTTTTTCATTTTCAACCCTATTTATAAGATCAACGACCTTTGTAATGTAAAATCCTAGGTGGTTCTGGAGTTGGCTAGAACACTTTTTCTTTCAGTTTGAAATTATCCTTACCTTCTTTACTCTGCCATGAACAGTGCATCTTTTTCCAAAAATCTCTCTCATTGAAATCTATCTTTGCTAAATGAAATATCTCATCAAATGTCTGCCACTGGATCTTGACCAACCTATCTGTTAACCTAATTTCCCAGTTCAGTTTCGCTGTTTCTGTCTTCATACCATCATAATGACTCATATTTAAGTTTAAAACACTAGTTTTAGACCTTTTTCCTCTAGCTGAATTTAATCACATTATGATCAGCGTCATCTAGGGACACGTATTACTATGATGCTCCTTACCGTTGGTTGGCTCTGGAATATGCTGTTCTAAGGAACAATCTTAAAACCCACATTATTACCTCATTATCCTGGTTAGCTTCACCAATTTGATTCACCTAATTGAAATAGATTGCCAGCCTGCCACCCTGTCACCAACAGGCCAGGAACATTCAGTCCAGTATTTCTCTTTGTTCAATACAAAGGCCATGCTCCATTTTGCAGCAAAATGCCTTGCTGGATTAAGGAGACAGAGCTGTGATGAGGGGAGGTTGGAACAATCAATTTACGCCCCTCTGATGTTAATCTGAAGTACACCTTGGAACTTACATTGGGTGAGGTCTTACAGTAGCATTTCCATCAATGAGAAATAGTGAATGCGACAAGGAAGCAAGGCTTTACTATGACTGCACTTCAGATATTAAATTCACTTCACACAAATACTGATTAAAACAATTATACTCTGGTATGTATTCCACCCAAAATGCATATAGTAACTTTACATTCTAACGTGAAAAGCAAAGTGATAGGTGATTTGGATTTTGTTTGCAGCTTCTGAAACCTCATTTTACGTTACTTATTCTGAAATCATAGAGCTGAATTACATGAAGAACTGAACTCCCCACCCCAACTAAAAAAGCTAATAATAGAACTCTGGACAATCAGAGTCTGGCACTAGCCCAGCTCTTCAGACATGCAGCCTGGCTCACTAAGGTATGTGGAGCTGGAAAGTCCTGATGAAGGGTTTTGGCTCAAAATGTTGACTTCCCTGATCCTTGGATGCTGTCTGACCTGCTGTGCTTTCCAGTTCCATATTATTTGACTCTAGCTTCCAGTATGTACTGTGTCCAGCTCATTAAGGTATGTTTGGGAGTCTCACCAGGCACCAAGCTGACAGACCCCCTTTAAGGGAACTCATGGTTCAAAGGCCACGGAGACGGTGGGGGGGGGCGGCGGTGGCGGGGGGAGGGTGGTGGATGGTGGTAGGAGGACTTTCTGCAGTGGGCTAAAACCTTAGAGAGCTCTCCAATGAGCTCAGTAGGCCTGTACAGGAGGGATCCTCCTATGGCTGCCAGTAGACTGCGCAGGGAAAACCAACTGGTCAATAATTACTCACTTAAGGGACTACTAGTGGGCAGGCCACCCGACACTGCTGCTGCTAAGATCCAGTTACAGTCAGGGCAAGGATGGGCAGAAGGGCAGCATACATGCTGTTCACTTGATTTAATGAGCCTCCCCATCATGTGTCAAATCAAGCCCAGAATATTTAGTGATTAAGTACACCCTTGATTTCATGCCATGCAATTATTTTAATTGACCTGTTTAGTCCCGTTATGGCATACCTCTGGAGCAGGTAGAACTTGAACACGGACTGCCCGTTACAGAGGTAGGGACACTGCCACTTCACCACAAGAGTATCCTTTCTTGCCATACATACCAAGGCTCCTCATTTGTACCACACATGTGCCGTTATACATTCCAGCCGCTTGGGGATGCAAATTAATCAATCAATAAAGATTGTACTTCCATAATTTGGCACTCCTCTCCTTGTAGCAACCCAAGTGGAAACTACCCATGGTATAATTCCAGTTCCTGGTTTTGGCCTAAGTAAAGCCACTATTTAAGTCATGAGGTCACGGTATGCACATCCCCAGTCTGCACTCGCATTTATTTGAGTGAAGTGCTTTTCGTCCTGGAATAGTTTCATTTTAATTCACTCACAGGATGTGGGTGGGCTGACCGAGCCAGCATTTATTGCGTGTCCCTAGTTGTCCTTGAGGTGATGCTGAGCTGCCATCTTGTGAACTGATGCAGTCCACTGCATTGTGGGTAGACCCACAATGCCCTTGGGGGGGGTTGGAATTCCGATTGTACTTATTGGACCCTTCAGTATAAAGATTTATTTTGTTGCTCAAAGCTGGTTGTGAGAGGCATAAAAAAATTAAATAACCTGCCACAGGAACGGATGCTTCTGGTGCTGACTCTAACACAGGATCTCCCCTGTTCTGGCAAAGGCCCAGTTCCTAGCTTGAGTGACGATGGAGGTACAACTATAACAAAAGCTAGTAGCTAGGAACATCTGTCTGTATTTAGCAAAAACTGGGGAACAAAAAAAAAAAACTAGAGAACAAAAAAAAACTGGGAATTAAATAATGTAAGAAGCATTAAAAGGCACAAATATGTTTATTGAAAATTCAATTAAATTCAACTAAAAAAAATGGACTGGGACACATACAACCTCCTGGAAAGATGCGGACTGGAGACAACTGATGAGTTCTAGTATGTTGTACAAGAAATTATTTAGCAACGCATACTGTAATTAAGTAGCTCTTCCTCTTTATATTGTTCATTCAACATGTTAATCATATTCTCACTGAAAGAAAATGATGCCAGAAATGCAAAGCAGCTGCCAGTACCTGACAAGTGAAAAGACAACTTAATGATGCGAGTCGAGACCTTCTGTTCTCATTAAAGGTTTTGATTCAAATCTGTCATTTCTCTTTTTGAAAATGGACAGTTTGTGATTTGCCTTTGGTATGCTTTAAATTTGGAATTTACAGTGGGGAGGTGTAAGACTTCATGTGACACTGTCCCCCAGATTGTACCATTTTCTCTCTCTGTAGGTTAACTGTGCAAGACACATCTTTGCATCGTTTTAAACACAAACACACTTACTTTCTCAGTGAAAGCACTGGAATAGTTTTGACAGCAAAATGAGTGACAATGGATCAGCTGTCCATTATATGCCTCTCCTCATTTTCAGAAATGGAAGTCGAATTGTAAAATTGTGGCTGATTGGAATTTTGCCATTTCACACTACATTGAAAATGACCCCCATTGATTCCCAGTAGTGGCACTGTTCCATTGTTAAGCCACTCAATCTCTTGTGATTACACAATGTAATAGGAGAAAGGATTTCAGGAACGGATCCTCCCAATTGGGAGTAATGCACACATCCTGGTCTTTTAGGATGCACTCCCTGAAAGCATTATTTCCCACTGGGAGTGCTGGATCATATAGCCATTGCTTAGTTGTCTTGTTATTGCATTTACAATTATTTGACTAGTCAGACATTGAGAGCTTTGGACCTTGGTTAAGTAGCTCGGTGTTGAGATTTCATGGAGAGGGGAGCTTTCTGGAGGACTCTGGGGTAATCCATCATCTTCAGAACTAGCACCAGCATCCTCCATCTTCGTTGCTGGAATCAATGCTGGGGGTGGTCCCACTTTAATGTTTTGTTGTACCTTTAACTGTAACAAATATAAAAAGAAATTTATATTGATTTTGTTTTAGGAATTAAATGTTGGATTATCAGCAAGAGCCCTGACTGGCCTATTGTTATATGCTTCACTGCCCTCACAAGCATCTTTTAATCAGTTACAGTCAGTTGTACATGAAAGCTGATCAATCATAGACCCACTCTTAAGTAAAACTGTTCAAAGTGAATAGTGGCCATGAACACTCTGCCATCATTATGTTCAGTGATGGTGGGTCAAGAATAAGGGAGGTAGATTCTGTATAAAAGAAAGTTCACAGACTTTACTAAAGGCCTTTGATGTCTTGGTTTGGTTGTTCCCACTAGCTATCTTATACATCTTGAACAAGTGGGATGGATTTGATCATGTGTTAAATATTATACACATGACTGCATAGCAGTCATGAAGATTAATGAGAAAAAAACCTTTGACCCTTTTTGAGATCCTGAAGTTTACATTCCTTTTGATAAGCTTGCTTTGGTGCCTTGCATTCAGAATGAAAACACACAACCCACTTCACATTATTTGTAGCAGCATGCTGAGATGGACTATGATCACTTTTGTTCTAAGCCGATCAGCCAACATGTAGCCTTCAGTGAATTTAATTCAATGTGCATATAATTACTACAGCTGGACAGCAATTAAGATTAAAAAATCAAAGTTGGTCAAAATCAAAACAGTGACTGACACGCAGTAATTCTTTCTAGATGTTCAAGAGACAGCCCTGCATTAAACCGTCACCACAAAAGGATCTCCCGCCCACATTTTCAGTGTCACAACTTCAAAGTTTTTAAAAACAGTGGGCAGAACCCAATCCCAGGTCCCCACCCTCACTGCCAGTACCACCAACCTTTGTTGGCATGGGAGAAGGTGCATATAGCCAGCTGACCTGGTCATTGCAGGGATAGGCGTCTCTAAGCAATCCCTGACAATTTTTGTCAGGTTATGTCAACCCCTCCATGACTTGCTGCTCATGACCTTCAGAGGAGTGGTGAAGGAGGTTTTGGTACAACAAGGTGCAGAGCTGGATGAACACAGCAGGCCAAGCAGCATCATAGGAGCAGGTTTTGGTACAGTTTTGTTATATCCTGCTGATTTGCTTTATTTCAGGCAGATCACCTGCCTTCACTACCTCTCCCCTCCCCTGAGGCATGATGACCCTCAGGTTAAACTCACTACTTTTCTCTAATGAATCAGCAGCCCTATGGTCTGATAAGACTATGATCACTTTATTTTACTTTTAAATTACATATAGACCCAACAGGCCTTAAAGTAATGTTGGCATGTGTGGAACTGCTCAAAAAAGTACATAATGAGACTTTCCTGAGAGCCCAGACTCATAAAAAGGTTTTCTGTTTTGACTGCTGGAGAGAATTGTTGTCTTTGCTTGGTTGATGTCTCATTATAAGCATTTCTTCCTGTGATATATTTTATCAAGGTCTCAAAATGTTTATTTGTACAAGTTTAAGAGTTGCGACATGTTTGAAACCACTGCTATTGATACTCTAATTGACTGCCTCATTGACACTCCAATAGGGGTTCTGAGAACATTAGTTTTTTCAAAAGAAGATTTGTAAATAGCGTTTGTGAGCAGTTCTGCACATGCCATCGTTACTATGTAGCTGATCAGTTCTTCACAAAGTACACAGAGAATGGGCATGGAAAGGACCTAATTTGGCATAGACTGGCATGAGGTCAAGGGACCATGAGGGTATAAATTGGTATTGAGGCTGCATGGGGAGTTGGTAGAGGTAGGGTGTGAGGGCTAGAAGGCCTAAAATATCACAATGCATGGGGACAAAGGTCAGTCTTTTAACTGACCCATCTCAGCACTTTCCCTTTTAGTGCTTTTCCCCTGAACTAAAGGCTCATATTACTGCAGCCTTACCCTTTAGTGCAGATACAAGAAGCTTGTCATGAGAGTCAGCAAGCCAGCCAAGGGGGATATCCTTCACTCAGAGGATCTCAGCGCAGTAAGTCAAGAGCAGGCTCTGCTACCAGCCCAGAGCCTGTCCTGGCTCTTTCTGTTCTGTTGTGAGTTATTTTCCTCATGGAGTGAGATGGGAGAGGGGAGCAGGTTTTACAGGAAATAAAAGCGAGTGGCACAGTGAGTCGACGGGGTACTACTGGTCAGGGGTTTAGGGTAGGTGAAAGTCAGCGAAGGAAGGTGTTGCGGGGAATAGCGAGAGTGGTAGAGCAGGGGAGATGGGTACAGTAACAGAGATAAAGTGTGAGGTATCAGAGATAAGATGGTGAAGTGGAGATGGACAGTGACAGTCTTCCTACAGTGCTGGGCATTCCTCCAAGAGTCCCACTTGAGACTGCTCTAACCTGGGTGGCAACCTCTGACCAGGCTGGCATGGCCCAATGCTATGGCCTCCACTGCTGGTTCTGAAGGAGGAGAGGTCCCATATTGGCAACATGCTGTCCAGTATAATCTCCAAGTCCCTGAAACAAAGTGATTTCCCCCCTGTCTGCCATGTCCATAGCAAATGTCAGCAACAGTGCTGGGTGGCTCTGGGCTGACGGTGCCCATCAAGATGCACAGCAGGCTTTCAAAGATGGCACAAGCACAAGGGATGTCACATTTTGGCAGATACCTGCTGAATCGCAAGTTGTTCTGGGACCAGGGCACGGTCAGGCGGGGCATAAAATTGGATGTGAGACACAGCTTAGGGGTATTGTAGGGAAACAACGAGGCACTTTTCATAATATATTGTGAGAAATCTCACGAGTCTCACGGTGAAAACTCTCAAAAACTCAAGGCAATTCTGACTTAGCCAATTAAAAGGGGGAGTTGGGAGCAGGTGGAAGTGCAGGAGGAGCAGAATAGATTAGAAAGATTGCAGTTCTAACGGAGTATATGCTGCATAGTAACATCTGAACTACTGGTCAGCTGAAATTTTCAAGTCTAACATTGACAGGCTTTTAATTTGTTGGAGATTTTAAAATGCTTTTAATCGATGACCCTACTCTTATAGTCTGCAGAGTAGTAAGGGAACTCCCAATGTCCCAGATTGGGAGAATAAACAGGGAAGGATAACATCACCTCTAAAAAGGGATTATGTCAGTAAAATGAAATTCTGAACGTTACCCTGCGCAAGGTGCTTGCTGGAACTTGTTTCTGATCTCACCACAGCTTCCCACACATCTACTCCTGACAGATGTTTACTGACTGTAACACACGGGTGCTCAGTCAATATGGAAGTTCACTTTAATTTCCTTTAAATGTCATGTCCTCACTGGATGAGCTTTTACAGGACACTGGGTTAAGTCAACCAGTGGAAGACAAATTCCAACAGATGTGGTTGCATATGCTACTGCACTTTGAGTAGCTGAAGGTTTGCTATTGGATGGAACAACCACCAGGAGGATTTAGGAGCACTAATGATTTAGTGATAATTTAATCACTAAAACACTGTTGCCTTCTGTTTGGCTTCCTATTGATGTTGATATTAATAAAGATCTTATGTAGCAATGTGAAATACGGAGTCTAATAGTACTGTATTCTAGAGGTGGCTGCGTAAAACTGGCCAAGGTTTGCTCTCAAAATATCAGAAATTACACGACACCAGGTTATAGTCCAACAGGTTTATTTGAAAACACAAGCTTTCGGAGCCTCAGTCCTTCATCAGTGTTAGTGAGAGCGGTAGTATCAGACACAGAATTTATAAGTAAAAGATCAAAGGCTCACACTATTGATGAGGAGGTACTATACAAAGCTAAGATGCTGTTAAATCTTTAATCAGTTAGAAGATTTTATTAAATTAATTAATTAATGTGTACATGTAAATTCCCGAATTCCTTTCAAGTCACGGGTCCTGAGAGAACTGAAGGTTTCATCAGTGTAAAGAGGAGGTGACATTTTAAGTCAGACAACGTATGTTAGGTGTGAGATCTTCTTTACACTGATGAAACCTTTAGTTCTCTCAGGACCGTGACTTGAAAGGAATTCGGGGATTTACATATACATATTAATCAATTAAAACCTTCTAACTGATCAAAGATTTAACAGCATCTTAGGTTTGTTTAGTACATCCTCAATGGTGTGAACCTTTGATCTTTTACTTAAATTCTGTGCCTGATACTACTTCTCTCACTAACACCAGAAAAAGGACTAAGGTTCCACACTGTATTATCTCTGACTCCAGCATCAGCAGTTCTTACTATCTGAGGTTTTGAAAGCTTGAGTTTTCAAATAAACCTGTTGGACTATAACCTGGTATAACACGGTGAAGAGCTGGATGAACACAGCAGGCCAGGCAGCATCAGAGGAGCAGGAAAGTTGACGTTTCGGATCGGGATCTGAAGAAGGGTCTGCTGAAGAAGGGTCCTGACCCGAAACGTCAGCTTTCCTGCTCCGCTGGTGCTGCCTGGCCTGCTTGTGTTCCTCCAGCTCCACACGGTGTTATATGTGTGATTGTTGAAACTGTGTTACAGGAGGCAGGGTTGAATGGAAGTGATCATTTGTGCTACTGTTATGGTTTTTTTTTAAGGTTACAAGCTAATTCACCTGCAATGTTTTATAAACGCGTGAATTAATAGTTTCTTGTCAAAGAATCAGACTTCTTTTTCTGCAAGTCCTTTTGTGCCTCAAGTAATCTTTTAACATGAATTCCAAATAATCTTACGTCAGCCCTCTCAGCTATTTTCTCTGCAGGAGAGTGGTAGGGTGAGCTCCTACCTTTGTCAATAAGCATTATCCCAGGAGAATCATCAGGAGGCAAGCAGTTCGTAAGTAAACATATTAGGAAATTACGTCAAAAGAAAACTGTCAATAAGGGCCACAGTAAATAATGCATTTGAGGTTATGCCCCTGTTTTTGTCAAATAGGGTAAGAGTTTTTTTTTTATTTTCCAAGCCTGAATATTGGCGAGGCTTGTACAGGTTATTTGATTAGTAGCTCAACATAATACAGTGAAAAAAAAGGGATGACATTACTGGGAAGTAGGTCTGCCATAAGGATTAACATTGACATAGTAACCATGGCATGGCATAACTAATGTGAGTAAACTGCCTACTGGCCAGAGTCAATCTCCATTGTTGGATGCCTACTTGTCCTCAGCTTGAGTTACAGATCACTCGGCATTCAGAAACACTGATTGTGACCAATGGGGAAATAATGGTAGGGTTATCAAAAGTGTTCAGTGTTAGGTCATACCTCCACAGTGGTGATTTTATAACCATCGTATAGGCAGTGACAGTGTTGTTTGAACTGAACTAAAAAGCTACTGTTGCAGCATGGCTTTCCTGGAAATTAGACTATAAATTCATACCTACTCCTAATCACTATGCAGTGACCCTTGATGGAAAGGACACGCGGGAGAATGTGAGGTAATGTTAGAAATGAACTCTTTGGAAACGTTCCAGGGACTAAAGAAGACTATTTTCTGACTCGACTCACAATGGAGTCGGGCTATTTCTTTTTCAGATCTCAGCCAAAGAGGGGTCTGGCCCACAGTACCATGGTCTCCACCATGGGTGGGGCAAGGAAGTGGCCTCCAAACCCATTCCAGTTAGAACGGGGATAAAACCATGGGTTGTTCATAGAATCACTACACAGTGTAGGAAGCAGGCCATTTGGCCCATCAAGTCCACACCAAACTTCTGAAGGGCATCCAATCCAGACTTACTCCCACACCACCCACCCCGCTCCCCCGCCCCAACCACCACCACCACCTATGACCCTGCATTTCCTATGGCTAATTCACTTAGCCTGTACATCCCTGGACACTTTCCCAATGGCTAATCCACCTAACCTGCACATCTTTGGACAGTGGGAGGAAACCGGAGCACCTGGAGGAAACCCACGCAGACACGGGGAGAAAGTGCAAACTCCACACAGTCGCCTGAGGGTGGAATTGAACCCAGGTCCCTGGCACTGTGAGGCAGCAGTGCTAACCACTGAGCCACCATAATCCACTGTTAGCACCATCTGATGCACACTGGCATACAGCAAACTGAACCAATTGTACCCTCCAAGCCCCTGCCAATGTGTCTAGCTTGTTGAGGTGGCGAACACTTTTACACACAGACTGTCGACTGGAGCTATGGGCAGTGATGGTAAAGGCTCCTTACCTGAACAGGTTAATTAGAAGAAAATTCTCCAATTTCTTTCCAACACGTGGCTGACCAGGAATCTTTCCCACTCCTACTACCTGCCATTGTATACCATTGGAAGGATTCACAAGTTAGATATGCAACCTGGTTTTGACTGCATTATGAGCTACTCACTATGGTTATAATCCTTGGTATGGTCACCCAGGCAAACTTACATAGAAAAAAAATTAATTTATGTTTATGATGTTAAAGCATATGTTCATAGATATTACTTGATCATTACCTGTAAAGCTTTGATAGGTCCAGAGACACTCTCCTGGGAAAACACTCGTACAGGCTTAACAGGTTGTTGCACAGATGTGTCTGGGATGAAGATACTGTCGTGTGACAGGGCTCTAGTTCCCATGATAATTTTGTAAGCTCTACAAGAGGAAACAAACAAGACTACTGTACCATATGCTGTAGCTACACAAAAAGTCAACAACATTGTGTTGAGATAATTTGTTCCATTTACAACATAGTTAATGGTCAGTAGAAGCTGTATTGTATCATGGGAGTTCAACATTAGAATATTAGGACAATGCTGTCGGCCACTAAACATTCATAGCTGAGCAAAATTCAATGTTAAACTTGCTTTACCGTTGGTATTTTGAACATGTTTAAAGGCTAGGTGCTTTAAACCCTGACATTATGCTATTTTATGCAGTAGAAATCAAAATGCTGTAAGAAACACACCAAACCCACACAGGCCATGTCAGAGTGGACAAAAACACAATATCCAAAAATGATGAATACTCCAAAATCAAGACAAAAAGGATGCTGTTCTCGTTTGTTCTTAATTGCTCCCGTGACAATCTTTTCAGACTCTGACAAAACCCAATAGCGATGTAATGATTCCGGAGACCAAACCCTCCAAAGCACTGCCCTGAGGTATCACAAGGTACATTCCAGATGTTTTAACCATTCTCAGGAGGAAGCTTTGCAACTTGGGGAGACTGAAAGACGACGGGTTAAAAAGAGCAGGTTTTCCAAACAACATAGTACCAAGGAGGTTTCTGGGGAAGGAGGAGGGAAGTGCAAGACAAAAGCAGGTCACAGAACCATGGCTGTATCCGGTATTAACAGCTCTTTCACAATATATATGAACCATTCTCAGAAAGAGAGCCAGAGACTTTGCATTCTCAGCTCCTCCACATTCATCGCAATTACTTGGTTAGTATTATGGCAGAATTCCATATTTTATAAGCAGTCCTATTCTGCGCAAATTAAATTCATTTATCTAAATATAAATTTCAACCACATTAGAAAAATTAAATCAAATTACCAATTGCCCAAGTATCTAAATTTCAGTATGTGCTAATTAAGTAATCATCGACTACCCTTTTGCACAACCAATGATGCAGTTGAATGAAACCAAATGTAAACAGGGAAGATTTTCATCAAAAAGAAGATGAATTCCATTTGAAGGGGTAAGTAGAAATGGGAAATGTATTACTTGCACTTTGATGGGAAAGGGGATTTCATAGAATCCCTACAGTGTGGAAACAGGCCCTTCGGCCCAACAAGTTCACACCGACCCTTGGAGCATCCCACCCAGACCCATCCCCCTAAAACCCACACACCCCTGAACGCTACGGGCAATTTAGCATGGCCAATCCACCTAGCCTGCACATCTTTTGGACTGTGGGAGGAAACCGGAGCACCCAGAGGAAACCCACAGGGAGAATGTGCAAACTCCACACAGACAGTCACCCGAGGCTGGAATTGAACCCGGGTCCCTGGCGCTATGAGGCTGCAGTGCTAACCACCGTGCCGCCCCTTTGTTCTGGAACACATTGTTAAATAAAGAACAGCACAGACTCTTATGAAATTGAAGCAAGCAGTCTAAGCAGATTAAAGCAGGAATAGTCGGGTATAATTATTGGTAAGTACCATAATTGTAAAAATGTAAATGCAAACCTAATTCCAATTGGATGGATAAGGAAAGACAGGCTGCTGTATGCAAAAATTCACTATTTTGTACGCAGCACAGTCCTGCTATTCATGATAAAGGCTGATAAAGAAGTCAAAAGCATGTGGGATCCAGGCAAGTTGGATTCAAAATTGCCTGAGTGGTAGGAGGCAGAGGGTGGTGGTAGAAGGCTGTTTGTGTGAACCTGCAGGCTGGTGACCAGTGGTGTACCACAGGGATCAGAGTTGAATCCCTTATTTGCTCCTGATATATTTAAATGATATAGAAGAAAACTTATAGAAGTAAGTTTGTGGGCATGAAAATTGGCCAAGCAGTTGACAGTGAGGAAGAATGCCTTAGGTTACAGGATATAAACAGATTGGTCAGATAGGCAGGTCAATGGCAGATGAAATTTAACCTGATCAATGAGAGGTAATGCACTTTGGAAGAAGCAACGAGACATGGGAGTACTCAAAAGAGGGCAGGGAACTAGGAAGCTCATGGGAACAGAGGGATCTTTGGATTCTTATCCTCAGATCCCTGAAGATGGCACAACAGATTAAGAGGGTAGTTAAAGAGGACATGGGACACTTGCCCTTATAGGAACATTGGAATAGGAGTAGGCCATTCTGCCCCTCTAGTCTGTTCCACTATTCAATGAGATCATGGCTGATCTGTGGCCTAATTCCATATACCAGTCTTTGGCCCACATCACTTAATGCCTTTGTTGAACAAAAATTGATCAGATTTAAAATTAACAATTGATCCACTGCTGTTTGTAGAAGAGAGTTGCAAACATCTACCCCCTTTTGTGTATAGCGGTGCTTCCTAACATCTCTCCTGGGCAGTCTGACCCTAATTCTCAGACTATGCCCCTTAGTTCTAGAATCCCCAACCGGTGGAAACAGTTTAACTTTATCTACCCAGTCTTTTCCTGACAATATCTTGAAGACTTTGGTCACATCACCCCTTTACCTTCTAAATTCTACAGAAAACAGGTCTGACTTTATCAGTCATGGCATAAAGTATAACAGCAGGGAAATTATGTTGGACCTGTAGAAAACTTTGGTAAGGCAACAACTGGAATACAGTTTGAAGCTCTGGTCACCACACTATAAAGAAGGATGTGATTGTATTGAGGACTGTAGAATTGCACTGAGGGGCTGCAGATGAGATTCCTCACCAGATTGCCTGGGATGAAGCAGGTTTAGTTATGAAGAGAGGCTGTGCTGTTTTCAATAAAGTACAGAAGGCTGACAGAGGAACTGATTGAGGTTTGTAAGATTGCGAAGGGCCTGGACAGATTGGATAGAAAGCAGCTATTCCCCTCAGTTGGAGGGTCAACAGCAAGGAGGCATAATTTTAAGATGAAAAGTTTAGAGGGGAGTGAAGGATAAAATTTTCATCCAGAGGGTGGTGGCGGTCTGGAATTCACTGCCTGGGTGGGTAGTTGAGGTGGGAAAGCTCACAACTTGGATGAGCAATTGAAATGTTGTAACATCTGTAGATTTAGAGTGGCTGTGTTGGTGCAGATTCAAGGGTCAAATAGCCTCTTCTGTACTGTTTAATTCAATGATTCTACAATAACAGCCCAAGACAGTTGCCATGGTGTAAAGTTTTTAAAAAGTGTTTCCATGAAAGTTTTTTTAAATTATTTTGAGCAACGAAGGAAATGCAGGGCACTAAAGTGAAAATATTAACTGGACAGTAAAATTTAAAATTCAAGTCAAATTTCTCAATACAGAGACGGGGGTGCAGGGAAGTAAATTTACTTCAAGAAAATGCTTGATTTTCCTTTTTCTCAAGCTCAATGAGTTAATGTCCTACAGGTTTGACATCACCTAGCCCAAGCCCAGCTAACTCTTTCTCTTCCCTTCAAAGAATTAAGGCCTCAGATTAGAAGCCTCTGCAAACCTTTAGCGAGTGTGGTCGTGTCAAATTCACACCTCCAAACTGACAGCCAAAAATCACTCAATCAAATATTGAACCACATGAGTGTAAGTTTGGTATTCAATCTCTACTTCTGACTCCCCACTAAGTGCCCTGCACTTACTGTTGTACTGTCCAGATAGCCAAGTCTCTCAGGATAAGAGTGTAATCTGATCTGCTGTGTCCTACATATGCCCTTTGGGGTCTTGGCCATCCGGTCATCATTATTCCTTATGCAACATGAGATAATTTGCAATAGCTGTTTTGCCCAGAATGGAGGGAGACACTTCCAGGTAAACATGTTCTTGGACTTTTCATTTCTGTCAGTGACAGGGTGAGAAATAAATCTGTTGCTCTTCCTTCATACAACCAATACACAAGTTGGCTTTTGAGGCCTGAATAATTTTATTTCTTCCTTTACAATTCTGGAGTGCTTCCAGATCAGCCCTTAGCGAGATACCACCATTGATTGTTATAGGATTTCCAACAGGAACTAGATCTTGTCAAAAATCCCACAGAAGGAAAATTTACTTTCTTCTGTCATTTAATTGAAAAAAAAGAAAGACCAACAGAATACAATTTTAACACCACTGTGCACTCTGTTCTACATTAAAATGTGCAAAGAAATGAAGGCTTTCAATTATATAGAGCCTTTGTGTCACTATGCACTTTACAGCTAATGAAAACGCTTAAAGTGTAAGGTTTGCCTTTATGTAGCACCTTTTATGACTATCCGGCAGTACAATGTGCTCTGAAAGCAATGGTGTACTTTTGAAGTGTAAGAATTAATCTGGATAACAGGGATGAGTCCCCTGTATGTCTTCAAAATACTGCCATCAGATTAGTCCTCATTTTAATGTCTCAGCCAAAAAGCATCACCTCAGGCAGTACAGTAGCCCCTCAGTACTACACAGGGCACATCGGACTGGAGTTTTGTGCGCAAACTTTAGAAATTTCTGACACAGACAAGAGAGAGTTGCCAAGAGCTAATACTACTTCAAAGAAGAACAGGAAGTCCTGGTCGATATTTACAATCACTGCATGTAAATGATCACCTCAATTATTTTAGCACTAAATTCTAATCTTGTTCTGTTATTTGCATTACTTAATTAAAATGATCAAAATACCATTTTTTTCATGTCACAAAGAATAATTTTGAACTAAAGGAAGCAGACTGAAAAGTGAGATAAGCACTAAAAATATAGCCCACGTTGTTGCCCGTGTTCTTAGCTCTCAGCATCAGCCCTTTGTGAAAGACTTGACTCTCAGTCATTTTGCTTTAGATGCTTGGTGGGGTTAGTCTACATTCCTTAATGCAGCTCTCTGTTGTTAGCCTTAAGCAGATCCTTTTAAACTGAAAGAACAAAGCTGACATATCACAACAGAAATTAATACAATAATGACTTGAAATTAATTAACATTTTACCCACATTACTTCATTTTGTATTAAATGTGAACAAGATTCCTGAGACTCAGCTAAATTTCACTGTTTTTTACCGGTCTTGTTCACTGACTAAAGAAAGCAATCCCATCAATTTGCAAGGGCAGTCCTTGCTGTCACATCATCTATAACGTACAAGTCAAGGCATGATCATTAACTGGGTGCTTCTTCATGCAATTTATGTATGAGAATGATGAGCTATTTATCAAACACTGTCATTTGAGGCACAGGTTAGAGAAATCGCATTGATTAACAGGCAATTATACAATAGAAGGTGCAGCAATTGACTGCTAAATAACCAACCCTGTTGAACCTTTCGGGAAAAGACCATACTTTATATCAAAATATGGGAACCATTTTCATATTCCAAAGTAATTAGGATGGCTGTTTTATGAACCAGCAATGATAAATACTGCTAACTGGACCGCTTGTAGACAGATATTACAATAAACAGCACATCTCAGATTTCACATAAAGCCTACTAAGTGGGTATTTCACCGGCACTGTAATAAAGGCTTTAGGATGTCATTTTCCCTTCCTTTTAAATAAATGATTAAAACACATCGTCAACACATGATTCAACAGCATAAGATATGAAAATGACTTACTGTTGGGTAAAATTGATAAGTGCCAGTAATTAAGATTTGCTACAAATCATTACTTTTAAATGCCCTACCCTTGGTCATTCTCCCCAAGCTCTGGGATGACAGACTCTGGAATTGTAACATCGCCTGCTGACTGGCTCATCTTCATACTGGTCCTCTCTGCATTGACAATAAACTCCTTTTTTTTCTTTTTAACAAATAGCTTCTTGAAGGATTTGAATTTTGACTTCTTCTTTCCTATAAATTTCCAAAGCAATATCATTAGTGATGAATCTACAAAAAGACTACAGAAAACACCAGAAACAAATCCACAGCTGGTCAGTCAGTACCTGAAAGAGAAAGACAGACTAACATTTTGGGTTTGGCTCTATCATTAGGCCCAGGGCCTGATTCTTGTTAAGTCAATAAACATAGAAAACATCATGCGGGAGGATGAATGCCCTTCTTCTGTGTCTCTTTGGCTAAATACATTTAACTATGCCCAAAAAACTTACTTCAATGTTTTAAGCTGCATTTATCTTGGTTAAATGATAAAAACTTTGAAATGAGCAAGTAATATACTGCTCACTGGTACGAACTTAAAAGGTGACACTGATGGAGAGTGGTAAAACTTGAACGGGTAGAAACAAAGTGTAAATTATTTGGCAGCACAACCAGGTTGCTATTTTCACATTTGTAATTTTCCTCAGAGCCCAAGTCGTGTATAAATAGGACAATACCCAGTTCCTATTCCCCAGGACAATACTGTTATAATGGATTGTATAGTGTTTGTGTAACTCTAGTAGCAAATGAGACACTAATATCCAGGTACAAAGCTACAGGTGCTTTTTTGTTCCACACTGTATGTTAGAAAAGGACCTATGTAGGGGAATAATCTCACAGTGGACAGGTTTATGCTGTAGGCAAAACATGCCCTTACCCCTGGCTAATGATTGATTGATTGATTGGATTTATTGTCAGATGTACCAAAGTACAGTGAACAGCGTTGTTTACAAGCAGTACAGGCAGATCATAGTAAGCAAGGACATACAGATCATAGAATGGAAAAAAACTTCAACAGAGTAAGGCATACAGGTTACACTGCACAGGATGTGCACTAGGCGAGATCAATATTAAAAAGATCAGCATTACTTGAAGTTAGAAAGTCCATTCATTAGTCTAATAATGGCAGGGAAGAAGCAGTTCTTGAACCTGCTGGTGCATGTGTTCAAGCTTCTGTATCTTCTGCCTGACAGAAGAGGTTGTAGGAAAGCATTATCAGGGTGCAATGGGTCTTTGATGATGTTGGCAGCCTTTTCATGGCAATGAGAAGTGTAAATGGAGTCCCTGGATGGGAGGTTGGCTTTCATGATGGTCTAGACTGTGCACACCACCTTCTGTAGTTTCTTACAGTCCTGGGCAAAGCAGTTGCTATACCAGGCCATTATGCACACAGTATGCTTTTAGTGGTCCTTCTGTAAACATTGGTGATGGACCTTATGGACATGCTAAATTTCCTGAGTCGCCTAAAAAGAAGCGTTGTTCCTTCTTGACTGTCATATTCACATGGGAAGTCCAGGACAGGTCGTCGGTTATTGTCACTCCTAGGAACTTGACGCTCTCAACACTCTCAATCTCTGCTCCATTTATGTGGATGGGAGCATGTTCTCCTCCTTTCTTTCTGAAGTCAATGATCAGCTGTTTAGTTCTGCCTACATTGAAACATAGGTTGTTATCACTGCACCACGTCACCAAGCTCTCGATTTCCTTTCTGTATTCTGACTCATCACTGTTTGGTATCAGTCCTACCACAGTGGTGTCATTAGCAAACTTGTAGATGGCGTTCATTCAGAATTTAGCTACACAGTTGTGTGTGTACAGGGTGTACTGTAGGGGGCTGAGAATGTATCCTTGGGGGGCTCCAGTGTTGAGTGTTATCGTGGAGGAGGTGCATTTGACTATCTTCACTGATTGCAGTCTGTGGGTCAGGAAGCTGAGGGTCCAGTTGCAGAGGGCGGAGCTGAGACCAAAGTCTCGGAATTTTGAGATCAGAGTGGTGAGGACAATGGTTTTGAAGATGGAGCTGTAGTCGATGAGCAGGAGTCTGACATAGGTGTCCTCGTTGTCCAGGTGTTCCAGGGATGAGTGCAGGCCTAGGGAGATGGTGTCCGCTGCAGACCTGTTAAGTTAGTAGGCAAACAGTAGGGGATCGAGGCAGGCTGTGAAACTGGAGCTGATGTGGGCCGTGACCAGCCTCTCCAAGCACTTCATGATTATGGAGGTCAGAACCACTGGGCAGTAGTCATTAAGGCACATTGCACGTGCTTTTTTAGGTATGATGGTGGTCTTCTTGAAGCAAGGAGGGGAGGGGACTTTGGCTAAATCACCTCTTTGCTTCAAATCAGTGTCTGTTTGATGTATACATTTCAGTGACTGGTTATGATACGTGCCTATTCAGGCAGGCGTTGTGAATTCCTGCTAAACAATACACATTAGGAGTGGGACCAGGCCAATCAGCCCCTTGATCCTGCTTCACCAACTAATTGGATCATGGCTGATGTAACCTCAAATCACTTGACTGGGGAGACTGCCCACTTCCGCTTTGAAAATATTTAATGACGACACCTCATCTGCTCTTTGACAAGGGAAATTCCACAGATTCAAGACACTCAGAAAAAAAGGATTTTTTTAATTTCAAAAAACACCTTTATTCATAAAAATATCTTTATATGCCTATGTAGTCACCAAAGAAGCCTGGTCCCACTCCTGATCAAAATGTTTGTATGTTCATACACTCTTCTTGCCTTTGGATTTACTTGTTAAAATCCAGATGAATAACAGCAACATGACACAAATTCCTAGGAGCCTTGACATGAGACCAGCCATTGTTTGGAGGTACCAACATACTGTGAGACAACATCTTTGTGTTGTACTAGATATAAACAGACTGCTCCACTCAGTATGCTTTTTTTTAAAAATTCATTTTTGTGGGGCGTGGGCGTCACTGGCTGCCAGCATTTCTTGCCCATCCCTAGCTGCCCTTGAGAAGGTGGTGGTGAGCTGCCTACTTGAACCGCTGCGTTCCTCCTGCTGTGGGTTGACCCACAATGCTATTAGGGAGGGAATGCTAGGATTTTGACCAAGCGACAGTGAAGGAACTGCGCTATATTTCCAAGTTAGGACGGTGAGTGACTTGGAGGGGAACTTGGAGGTGGTGGTGTTCCCACATGTCTGCTGCCCTTGTCCTTCTAAACGGAAGTGGTCGTGGGTTTGGAAGGTGCTGTCTGAGAATCTTTGGCAAATTTCTGCAGTGCATCTTGTAGATAGTACACACTGCTGCTACTGAGCGTCGGTGGTGGAGGGAGTGAATGCTTGTGGATGTTGTGCCAATCAAGCGGGTTGCTCTGTCCTGGATGGTGTGAAGCTGAGCAGGAATTCACAACATCTGACTGAATAGGCACATATCATAACCAATAGCATAGAAAGGAACAAACAAACATTGAAGCAAAAACAAAAATATGAAAGAACTGTGGATGCTGGAAATCAGAAATAAAAACAGAAAATGCTGGAAAAGTTCAGAGAAACCAAACGCATTTTTTACCTGTGTAAGATATCTTTACATATATTTGAGGCACTGGGAGGGTTGTTTCAGGTCCAGTGGCTCTTCCTCAGAACAGACGGTGGCTGGGAAACAGTTGGTTTTTATGCAGAAGATAGGGTGGTGAGGGAGAAAGTAAGGAGTAACTAAAAAGATGGAGATAGAGCCCAAAGAGAGAGAAGAACAGTGGGACAGACAAAAGGACTGAATAACAATTAGCCTGGAGAACGAATAGTTACTACTGGGGGCTATTAGTTGCTAAAAATGGGTGGCGTGTAATGGCAGACTGTGAGATAACAAGGTCTGGTGTGTGGGGGTTGGGCTAAGGACGTGGGAGGAGGTGGTTCAAGGCCTAAAATTGTTGAACTCAATATTGAGTCCAGAAGGCTGTAGAGTTCCCAAGTGGAAAATTTCCCTGTTCTTATTTACGTAGAGTTTTTGATTGGTTATTAATAGCTGCTTTCTACATAACGGAGGGAATCTCTCTAATATATTCACCTGAGGGAAAGGTCCAAACATACTTTAATATGCATCACCTGACTGTTGTCATTATTGGTGCCTGCTGGCCTAGCTCATAGGTCATCCAAAATATTTGAAACGGATGAAGGAAACTGGCAAGTTAAAAAACAGAAACTGGGGAGCCAGTATGAAGTTGCTGTTCCTTTGTAGTTAATGGAATTGTTCCGGAATAGCCAGGACTTCTCATTACCAGCAAAACCCTAAGATCTTAAAGTCCGCAGAGAAGTACACTGGGCAATGGTCACCTTCTGCTCAATTTCCTTGTAGTAGGTAGGAGACGCTGCAGAAGGGTAGCATTCTGAATCCAGAAAGCTACACTGTGAGTGTATAAGCTATGCCGAGCACTTTCATCCAGAGAATCGAGTTCCAAAGAAGATCATTGGGAAAGTTATTGGACTCAAAACGTTAACTCTTTTTCTCTCTCCACAGGTGCTAATAGACCTGCTGAGTTTCTTCAGCACATTCTTCATTTGTTTCAGATTGCCAGCATCTGCTGTACTTTGTTTTTATTGGAAAGCTTTCTTAATACTTGTTAAAGTTAAATCTATGACAACTTCTTCTGCTGTTTGTGGGAAAGGTGCTTCCCAATTTTACTCCTATGTAGCCAAGCTCTCATCTTTTTCCTCAACATGGGAAAAAATTAAATCCCCATTCTCTCCATAATTTACCAAAGACTTGCCCATTACTCATGTCTTTCAGGAGTTTAGAAGATTCCACCCCAAGACCACACCCTCTTGCTCTGGACTCCCCCACCAGAGGAAATCATTAACCACACCACCTGGTCTAATCCCTGAGCAATGTTAAATGCTTCAATTAGATCACCCTGCAGCCTTCTGAAGTGAACGGAATACAAGTCAAGTTCATACAACATCTTATCATGCAAGTCTTTGTGCATTCTTATAAATTTGTACCACATCCTTTCCAAGGCCAAGTACGGTGCCCAAAATTTTGAACAAGACTGTGTACAACTTGAAGCATCACCTCTTCATTTTTGGATCCTAATCCCTTTCGGATAAAGGCCAGCACACCATTAGCCTTTCTTATTATTTTGTGTATCTATCTATCTGTTCGGCCCCTTCAGGTACTCCTCATCTATTGTCTTTTATTGTTCACAGGGCTTGGGCGTCAGTCTTAAGGTCAGAATTTATCCATCCCCAATTGCTCTTTAACTGGAGCATTTCAGAGTCAACTGCATTACTGTGACTCTGGAGTCAGATGTAGACTAACCAGGGTGGAGACAGCAGCTTCTCTTCTCTAAAGGGCATTAGTGAAGCAGGTGTGTTTTTTTAACAGCAATTGACAGTGATCACCAATAAAGACTAACTCCAGATAACAGAACTGAATTTAATTCCTACCAGTTACTGTACTGGGATCTGAATGTAGGCTCAAGACTGGGCCTCTGTATTACAGGGCCAGTGACATTACCACTGTCACTGCTTCCACTTGTGGGGGCCCACTGCGTTCATAAACTGAGACAGCAACCAATTTAAACAGCTATTACGATGCTTTCCTACCTGTAGGATCCAGGGCCAGGTGGATTTCATTGACTATGAGATCCATGATTAGGGTTGTTAACCTGGGCCAAATCAGGGAGCCCTGGCTGACAGACATAAACAAGAGATTCAGAGAGTTTTCTCATGCTAGGGTCTGACTTTGAGCTGGCTGGTGAGAGCCAGTGTCCAATGCACATCAGCAAAGTGCGATTTGGTGATGGGATATTGGCCTCTGTGCAGTTATTTCATTACCACAATGGCATTGCTGGCATTCACATGAACTGGATTGGGGAAAAATATGACACTAGGCTCCAAAAATCAAACAGTTAGGTGTCAAGGTGATTTTAAATCTCCATCCAATCTGGCTTATGAATCTGTAAATATATTCTAATTTAATTAAGTATGAGGATACACAGATAGCATGAGTGCTACGCCACCCGAGGGCTGTGAGGGCATTGTGGGAGGTGCTGGTGTAGTGGTAATGTTAATGGGACTAATACACCAGAGACCCAGGCCAATATTCTAGAACAGAAGTTCAAATCCCATCATGGCAAGTAGCAATTATGAAAACCCAACTGGTTTGCTAATGAGCAGGAAATCTGCCATCTTTACTCAGGTCTGGCCTACATGTGTCTTCAAACCCACAGCAACTTGGCTTACCCTTAACTGCCCTCTGAAATGGCTTAGCAAGTCACTCAATTCAAGGGCAGTTTGGAATAGGCAATAAAATGCTGGCCCAGCCAATGACACATCCCAATGAATGGGCATAAAATAACACTGCACTGCAATGGAAACAAAAACAATTCAGTAAGATGTCTCCTGCTGCATTAATAGGTTTAATCCTCTTGTGCTTCCATTCCTAAATGGTCTATTTTGGTTCATGGAAGTTCAGTAGCACTACATTAACTGCTCACCTTACTTGTTGTATGCAGAGGCCCAGATTAAGGTTCTGGAGACATGGATTTAAATCCCATCATGATAAACAGTGAAATTTGAATTCAATAAATAAATCTAATGGCAACCATGCAACCACTGTCAATTGTTGTAAAAACCCATCTGGTTCACCGATGTCCTTTAGAGAAGGGAATCTTCCATCTGTATCTGTCCTGGTTTACACACTCAGACCCACAGCAATATGGTTGACTCTTAAGCACCTTCTGAAATGGCCAAGCAAGACACTCTGGTCAAGAGCCGTTTGGGATGAGCTACAAATGCTGGCTTTGCTTGTGACATCCTCGTCCAATGTAAGGATTACAAAAAAAAAGTCAGATTGTGGGCTAAGGCTTGGAAAGTATCCCCATGCAACGTTTGCCTTTGTTCTTCTAGGTGGTGGAATTCATGAGTTTGAGGAATGTTACTATAGTAGCTTTGTTTACTTGCTGCAGTGCACCCCCTAGGCAGTTCACTGACCCCACTATCATTGTGTGTATGATTACATTAACCTGCTCCTAGATTTATTCTTTTTACAGCCTTTATATCATTTACAATCCTTACGTCATTGCATATAGCAATAAAAATTCCTCTCTCTCTGCCAGTTTCCCATTGCAAAATTTAATTACCTTTTGCAGCAATGAACACCTATAATCTTAGGCCAGTACGTAGAGCTAAAATGTGCACTCAGTCAGCTGGAAATCATTTTTCTTGTTATCGAAGAGCAAATTCATTTGTACAATGTTATTTTATCTATTATTTTAACAGTTAACCCATTAATGGTAGCCAGGAAAATATCTGATTGCTATCTGAATTAATGGGTCAGATTTTGTGGCAACAATAACAAGGCTGTGAGCACACACTGGTATTATATAAATCAATTTCTAGCCTCTGCACATGAAATGAAACGTAGAAATCAGGAAGCTGTTCCCTCCAGCTTGTCCTCCACAAACTTCATTACACTGATACCTCTCTGAAATAGTCTGCATTCAACCACATAAATACTAGCAGAAGTTTGGGATTGTCCATTCAAGTACAGATTAATTTATAACTATGTGGTAAACAGTTCTAAACCACTGCTTTCCAAACGTACACTGGAATTTAGTGTCCTCTCCTGGCAAGGGTGGGTATTCTGTCACCTTCTCACCTCCATGCTGATTATGCTTTTCCCTTGACCCCAGGTGAGGCCCTTACGTGGCCAATTAATGCCCACTTAATGGCTCGAACCACCTCCATTGGTATTATCCCATTGGCAGGGGTGGGGGCTCACAGTTTGGGAAGGAATCCAAAAGATTCTGGCATCTTTGGGTGCAGACCTCTGGAGGAACAGGGCAAACTCAAAGGCATTTGCTCGAGGGCCCCGATACTGGAAAGCAGGGACATCGAGAGGAACCCTTGGCCTTGCTGCCAGCACCATTCACCTCTCACTCCCATCACCCACACTCTTTGAAACCTACCCACTTCTCTCCATCACTTACTTGTACTGGGTCTCTCCTTCATCTATGTGCCCAGATGGGTATTGTCAGCAACCATCAAGTCACCAGCAGTGCTGCTGAACACAGAGAAGCTGCTGGTCACTGATACTCAGCAGGACCTTCGCTCCTGGGATCATTGATTCTGGGGAAAGACATGCCAAATGCCTAAATGGCACATGATTCACTAAAAGAGGCAATGTGAAGCTTCCACCAGCTCTCCAGCTCATGGTGACACACCTGATACTTCCATTAAATCAAGGCCTCAAGTTTACAAGTTACGGGGTCTGATTGCTTCAAATGTTAATAATCAAACTTTTTTTTTGTAAAAAGGAATCCTTTTACAGGGCGCCTGTGGTGCAGTGTAGTGTCTCTGCCTCTGAGCTGAGACACCTGGGTTCAACTCCCATCTGCTCCAGAGGTATGACATAACTTTTCTGAACAGGTTGATTAAAAGTATCTAACAAGTCCCTTTTATCTGCTTCGAGTATCCCCTTTCTTCCTTAATTTCTTACTTCTTTCCTTCTACCTATTTCATTTTTTATGCCTAATTTTACATTGTATTGAATATCCTGACACATCCTGGTTTAGATTCCAGTGTTGCACCAAGGATTTTTCAATCGGAATGGATAAGGAAATGTCTGATAGCATTAGGATCAGGGTTACACACAGTTAGGCAAGTTCACACAGGTTAAGCATCTGCTACAGTTAACACTATACTGCTTTAACCTTTTTTTTTTTTTTAAAATTCACTCATGGAACATGGGCATCACTGGCTGGGACAGCATTTGTTGCCCATCCCTAGCTGCCCTGGAGAAGATGGTGGTGAGCTTCCTTCTTGACACCTTCAGTCCGTGTGCTGTAGATAGACTCTCAATGCCGTTAGAGAAAAAAGTTCCAGGATTTTGATTCAATGTCACTGAAGGAATGGCAATATATTTCCAAGTCAAGATAGTGAGTGACTTGGAGTAGAACTTATTCCCACATATCTGCTGCCCTTGTCCTTCTATAGTCATAGGTTTGGAAAGTGCCACCTCAAGGACTTTAGGTGAATTTCTGCAGTGCATCTTGTAGGTAGTACACACAGCTACTGCTGAGTGTCAGCTATGTAGGAAGGGAATGGTTGTGGATGTGGTGCCAATTAAACAGGCTGCTTTGGCTTGGATGGTGTCAAGCTTCTGGAGTTTTGTTGGAACTGAACCCATCCAGGCAAGTGGGAAGTATTCCATCACGCTCCTGCCATGTGCCTTGTAAATGGTAGGACAGACTCTGGGGAGTCAGGAGGTGAGATACTTGCTGTAGCATTTCTAGCCTCTGACCTGCTGTTGTAGCCACTGTGTTTATATGGCTGGTCCAGTTCAGTTTCTGGCCAATGATAACCCCAGGATGTTGATGGTAGGGGATTAAGTGATGTTAACACCATTGAATGTCAAGGGGAGATGGTTAGATTGTCTCTTTTTGGAAATGGTCATTGCCTGGCATTTGTTTGGCGTGAATGTTTCTTGCCGAATAATATTATTTGTTTGCTTGGTAACAACTATTCACAATTTGAAAGCCCACAGGAATTCAGCAGCAAGTTTGTGTTGTTCCTTCTCCAAGGGCTGGAAAATCAAACGTTATGTTCTCAATTTTCACCAAAATAAAAAACCTCTCAGCACTTCAAACATCTTTTGATTAAAAATAACAGATAAATTTAATATTTCTAAAATCTGCAATAGATTAGTTCTAATCTACTAACCTGAGCCATCTTCACCGGGGCCTTCAGACTCCTGCATCTTGCTCTCTGTTAAACCTGTGGCCATGAGAACACTCTCACTGGAAAACAGAGATGTACAGAATTGTTAATCTTTCTGAACTGTATTGTTTCAGGATCACACAAAGCTTAAAAACAACCACAATTACTGTTGTATATGTAGCACATATGCTCCTCTTTAAAAGGTGGTTTTTGCATCTTCCCTACATTATGTTTCCTTTTCTGGCAGTTATCACTCGTGCCGGGATATGCTTCCACAGAGACTCAAAAATATTGTAGAATCTCATCCAAATCACTGTTTATTTGTTAGCCACTTGATAAAAAAAAAATTACTGTTTCACCAGAAATAATTAAATGGAGGTATAAACTACTCCAAAATCAGTGACCAACTCATCCAAAATCACTATTCATCCAATGTACAAAATCAAAGAACCCATACACAGTGTGGAAGCAGGCCATTTGGCCAATTGAGTCTACGCTGACCCTCTGAAGAGCATCCCATTCAGACCTAATCTCCCTACCCTATTCCTGTAACCCTGCATTTCCCATGGGTAATCCATCTTGTCTTCATATCCCTAGACACTGTGGGCAATTTTGCATGGCCAATCCATCTAACCTGCACATCTCTGGACTTGTAAACACTTAATCAAAAGGAACATGTTTACTGTTTCACTGGAAATAGTGATGATTAGCTTTCAAATGCTTCAGATACTGTGACCAACTCTTCCTTGACAATGTTCAAAATTAGCTCAAATCTCAGGAGACAATGGCCTCACCCTCATACATGGCCACTACCTGAAATAAGCTCTCTTGGTGAACTCAGCTATTTTGCATGGCTCCCTCCCTATAATGATGTACCACATTTCGATACTTACTAAATATTTCACACTATATGATCATAAATGTATTGGAATTTGCATTTACATAGCACCTTGTCTTTCACTGGCAATCAGCTATTGTTGAAATGTTGTCACCAAAGTTCTTGCTACAGATGCATAGCCACACAGCAGCCCAAAAGGCTTTGGGATAAATGACATGGGCAGCTGTGCTGAAAATTGTAAAGGGAACAGACACTAAAAACAGCAACTATATTTTAAAAGGGAGCACTGCAATAGTAACTCTCAATGTAGGGAATGTGCAGCCAAATTAAGTACAACTTCCTACCAACAGCAATGTGATAATGACCAGAAAATCAGCTTTAGTTGCATTGGTTGAGGGAGAAATCTTGCCTAGCACATTGTGAAACATGCCCTTGCCCTTCAAACTGTGCCATGAAATCTTTAAAGTCCATTTGGAGAGGCAGGAAGTTTGGAGATGTAAGGAAAAAGCCTTTTCACCCAGAGGGTGGTGGGAATCTGGAACTCACTGTTAGCATGGTAGAGGCAGAAGTATTTAGAAGTGCTCTTGCTATGCCAAGACATACAGTAGGATTAATATAATTAGGTGGTTGTTTTTGGCTAACATGAATACAATGGGCTGAAGAGCCTTTCTCGGTGCTGTAGATCTCTACGATTCTATATGTTTAACACATCTACCACAGGGCAGAGTTAACGTTTGGCATGTTAAATTGCATAGAGAGAGAGAGAGCGAACGAGAGTGAGAGCGAGAGAGGAGACCAGTGGCCTTTCCACAGGACGGGTGTTGTTGAGAGGATTCAGACAATGATGTACAAAGGATGTTGCCAGGGTTGGAGGGTTCGAACTATAAAGGAGAGGTTGAATAGGCTGGGGTTTCTTACCCCTGGAGCATCTGAGACCGAGGGGCAATCTTAGAGGTTTCTAATATCATGAGGGGCATGGATAGGGTGAATAGGCAAGGGATTTTTCCTTTTTGGGGAGTGGGGAGGAGGAGGCAAAAGGTGTGAGGGACAAGATTTAAAAAAGACCTGAGGGGTAACTTTTACACGCAGATGTGTATAGAACAAGCTGCCAGAGCAAGTGGTGGACACTGGTACAATCACAACATTTAAAAGGCAACTAGATGGCTACATGAATAGGAAGGGTTTAAGAGGGTTATGCGCCAAGTTCTGGCAAATGGGGCTGGTTCAGATTGGAATGTCTGGTCGGCGTGGATGAGTTGGATGGAAGTGTCTGTTTTCATGCTGTATGACACCATGACTGGGAGTGGTTTAACCTAAATGGTTCGCCATGCCGGAGGCAAGGGGAGAGGTTGAGAAGAAGGAGAGTCCTTTGTGGTAACCTCAGCCTGTGTGGGAATTGAACCGTTGCTGTTGGCATCACTTTGCATTGCAAATCACCCATCCAGCTAACTTAGGTAACTGATCCCACCAAGCATTAAAAAATAATTAAAATGATAACCACAAAGTAAATAAAAAGGATAAAGGCTGAATGTGATGTAAAATCACAGATATGATGAAACATATTTATATGACATTCAACATAAAATAAGTTAATTTGAGAAGAAATCCAGCCAGATGCATCTTCAGGCAAAGTAATTACAGGGAAGGTGCTTATGACACAGTCTTGGCTTGAAAGTCAGGATTTGAGTCAGGTTTATCTCAGAGCCAAGCCCAGATCTCACCTGGATTGGGTTCATCTTGATCTTGAACAGACTGATTCAGAATTAGTCCCAACCCATAACTAAAGTTTCTGAAAAAATTACTTTTAAATGTGCACTACATAAAAGGTCTCCTCAGTACAAGAAGCTGTCATGCTGTGTTTAAAATTTATACTTTAAACACATGTTCTGAGAAAGTTACACTTAATCAGTTGAAAAGGATTAACTGAGGCAATTCTATTGTTTGAATTCCAAGTAACCATGTATGCGTTTCAATTTGTTTCTTGTATGATCACATAAAATTACATTTGAAAATTTAAATGCTTACATATTAGCTTTTTGGATCATTCAAGCAAATCGAATATCACGCTTCAGTAATCTAATCTAATCAGCTCTTTCCACGTTAGTAACAACATTCATTGAAGCCCACAGAAAAACACAGTCACTATTTTTTTTTTTAAAAAAAATGGTTCAGGGCATGTGGGCCAGTATTTATTGTTCAGCTCTAGTTGCCACAAGAGGAGGTATTTGGTGAGCTGCTTTCTGGAAGTATTTTGCAGTCTATCCAGTGTAGGTACACCCACAATGCTGTGAGGGACAGGGTTCTAGGATTTGCCCTCTTGCAGCCTTGACTCCCCCATGACCTTTGGCAGTGACACCCCCCCCCACCGCCTTTACAGACCCCTATTGCCCCCTCTTAACCATCAATGGACAGAACCCCTCCTTTCCACTCCCTGTCCCCAATCACTGTATGCAGCTCAGATCTCTGACTGACTTCAACAAACAGCCCTTACACCTGATTGACCAGAACTCTGACCACTGTCTTTATAACTCACCGACTCAATGGGATGCAATTCCCCTGACCGTTGGTGCTGCTCACCCTGTAGGACAGACTGGCGCGCACTCCCCAGACTGTACTCAGACAGATCCGCTTCCAATGCATGGCCCAAGCAGTGACTGACTATGGCCAAACCCCTGGGCTGTGTGCAGACTGTACCTGTGTCTGATGGTACTGTGACCTCCCGACACACAGCAGCAACCCCCCACCACCACTCAGTTGTGGATTAGCCCCAGACCAACATGGCCATGTGTTTGAACAAACGTGGTGTGTTTTAGCCACACAAGCAGCTGACATATGCTGTAGGTGTTAGCCTGACGTCCCACTGTTCCATTCATAAGGGAAACCCCACCCCCAGGACAGGACGCTACTGACAAACACAACAAGCAGCCTGCCCTGGGGGTGGGATTTCTCTTATGAATGGAACACTGATTTACAGCATCCACAGTTCTTTGGGTTTTTGGTGTGCTAAAGGATTTGTCACTATGACAGCAGTGACAGTGTATAAAAAAGATAAAAGGCTGAATATGATGTAAAATCACAGACACGATGAAACATAGAAATATGATATTCAACATTCGGCCCATCGAGTCTGCACCAATCCTCCAAAGAGCATCCCACCCAGACACACCCACCCACCCTATCCGTAGCATGGCCAAGCCACCTGGTCTGCATATCTTTGGACCATGGAAGGGAACCAGAGCACCTGGAAGAAACCCACGCAGACACAGGGAAAACGTGCAAACTCCACACAGACTGAGGCTGGAATCAGAACCAGGCCCCTGATGCTGTGAGGCAGCAGTGCTAACCACTATGGTCATGCAAAGTGAGTGAATGCTAAGACAGCAAATGCGCAGTTCGGAGATACAGCCTGGTCCAATCCATCTGCTGCGTGCCTGTCCCCGAGCACAGAATGTCCTTGCGGCAGCCTTTCAAAGCTAGTAGGTGGGTGCCAATGCAATGCAGGGTTATGCTTCCTAAGTGTCTTGCCAGTGGATTGGAGAGGTGCCATGGGATCCTGAGGGTTGGTAAATGTCTGTGTCCTCAGACACAGGAGAAAAAAAGTGTCTGGCTGGTGCACATGGATTGTGTCCAGAGATGGTGTTTCGTGCTGATCAAGTTGGAGGTTGCTCACAGCCAGCAGCGAGCTGATGGTGTCAGGGACCTGGTCTGACTTCCATGTTGAGAATTCTTGACATCTGATTTGTTCAGTCCATTGGGTAAGACAGGAATCTGAACATTAATGATGCAAATTGTGTCGTTTAACCAGATATGATCCCCCTTCATCAGCAATTCACCACTGACCAGCAAGAAACTCACCTCGCCATTTCGCAAAAGCATAGAAAAAAAAATACAGGGTGTCATTCCCGAAGTAGAGGTGCACATCGTCTGATTTCTCACATGTTCTGTCACAAATCTAACCATAGCCCACGTCACTCAGGCCCTTATAAAAAGGTTCAACCCTATGCAACTAACCTAGAAAACGCAACAAGTGAAATACCTGGTGTCCCAAGGTTGCTAGGGGTTATAAACGAATCAAAACTAACTCTTAATAAAACAGGGATTTGGTGATAACGGAAGAAAAGGGCGGTGAAAAGTTTCTGGCATAGTTTTCTTATGCCTTACAAGATCATGAAAGACAAACATTAACTGCACTATCATCACACCGTTGCTATGTTGTGGAAACACAGCATGAAGCTACATGTG